CTACACTGAGCATGACTATATCGTACCACTAACATCTATTCCAAAAACCTGCATATAGATAGATAGATAGATAGATAGATAGATAGATAGATAGATAGATAGATAGATAGATAGATAGATAGATAGATAGATAGATAGATAGATAGATAGATAGATAGATAGATAGATAGATAGATGGAGAGAGAAATGGAGAGAGAGACAGACAGATAGATAGAAGAGCGGGACAGAGACAGACAGACAGACAGACAGACAGACAGAAACAGACAGACAGACAGACAGACAGACAGACAGACAGACAGACAGACAGACAGACAGACAGATAGACAGACAGACAGACAGACAGATAGATAGATAGATAGATAGATAGACAGACAGATAGATAGATAGATAGATAGATAGATAGATAGATAGATAGATAGATAGATAGATAGATAGATAGATAGATAGATAGATAGATAGATAGATAGATAGATCATTTCCATTTGTCATTGTTTGAGATGCTGTATGCCATTACCAAACAGAACATCTGTCTGGCCTTGGCTCTCTCCATCGCATTCTTTTCTCTCTGAATCTTTAGAGAGGAGAGAAGGTTGCCATAGTGACAGAGATGCTTATAGTAGTAAAGAATGAATGTGGTTGTCATGGAATATTTTGTAAAATAGGAGAAAATCAATGAATTATTGAAACTGCAAGAACACAAATGCGAGGCGACTATGACAAGACAGAAAGAAAGAAAGCAAGTATAGGCAGAGAGAATATTCTGTTCAAATCAATAATTACAATATGCAAGCATTTGTTTTGTTTAGCTTAAGTGTTTGTTATATTAAAACATTGACCAGCTCCAGCGTTTGGACATTGTTACAGACCTGATGATGTGGATGAGTGAAAGCTGATAACGCACTGATAGATAGTTCTCCATCATGTGATAATTACATTACAGTAGCTACACTTGATATCATCCTCGCTCACAACTAATCTTATTAGCCTGTTGTACACATACGGAGCGAGAGCGAGAGGGAAATAGAGAGAAAGTCGAGGGATGAGAATATGTTTCCGTGTTTCTGGCTTGTAGTTTCTAATGCAGATCTATCTAGCACAAAAAAAATAGATATATAAGATATCATAATTATTACCATTCAAGCCACTGAAACATACAATATGGATTCGCCTCTCAATGATCTTGAAAGCCACAGGAATACTGCAGCACCACCTAGTGACGACTTTATGAATTAGTCGCGTGAGGCTTGTCTTCTGTACAACTGCTTGATATAGCCCTACGTCTACTGTATTTATTTCAGTCTGCCCTAAAGAGAATTAAACAAAAAATTCTTATATCCTATAAAAGTTCATGAATTGTTTTCTTAAAATACAAAGCAGAAGCTTACTACTACTTGATAACACGCGAAACAAAAAAATCAAGTGGCAAATATGTGGAACAAACTGTAAACCAAATATGATGTGAACCAAATAAGTGCACTAGTAACATTTTACAGCAGTCACTCTATTAACTTCACGTCTTCTACAGCAGTGAAGTCTCACAGCTGCATTACAGTAATTACTGCAGTCTCAGCCTGAGGCCATTGACCCGGATGTTGTTGACACTTTATGAACAGTGACTGCAAAGAAGCAATATTATAATTAAATCTGTGCCTTTTTGAGTAAATTAAGACATAGCACTTACCTGCGCGACTGTCTGTGTGATGTGTAATTTTTCTCTCTTCGTTCTGTTTTCATCCTTGTTTTTAAGGCAGTTTCTGTTCTCCAAAGCACAAATGGAGGAAATGACTGAATTATGGAACTGAATAATTCATATCTAGATATAGTTCAGTTGAAAGCGTGACACATCACGTATCTATATCGAGCATAAAGACTAATGCTGTGGGACAAAGAAAGAACTCCAATTAGCGATGGGCCCATCTGATGCTGGGCCCCACAGACCCCAGGGACCAATTTGGGCAGGCACGTGCCTGGTGGTGTCCGCTGGGTTCCCGCGTGTCTATCCAAGCACCAGACGCGTTCCTTGGTTGTCCAGGAAACGCTCAATCCCTCCATCTGTCACGGTCCTGCGCAGTGATCCCTGTCGTGTAACTGCGGCACTCTAACTAGGGAGAACACACATTTATCTATTACCCGCCATTAACTACAGAGTGGGCGGAAAACAGACATCTTTGACACGCCCTTTCAGGTCTAAAACACACCTTTAAAACCTGGGTCCTATTTAATGGATTAGCTATAATTAATGGTTTAATTTCAAAACAGCACACAGACTTAATTCGGAATGTATGGGCCTTTAAAAATAAAGCCCTCGCAAATTCACAAAATCAGCATTTCCACAACACACATTTCAAATTAAACATTGTTTAAAATCTGCTTATACGTGCAAAAACAATAAGCACTCTCTGTATTTAATCGACAAAGAGAAACAAATATGCGAAACTATTTCTTTTATTTCCTTATTTAGGCTATGTATAATTATATAGTTTTCCACATTTATTTATGTTTTCATTTATTTATTTATAAATTTATTTATTCATACGTTTATTTACCATTTAGTACTCTGTATGCTATTGAGGGGTGTGTGTTTAGGTTTTACCTTAGACATAGTAATCGAGCTCAGATTGGCAGTACTGAAGCTTTAAGGCCACAGTGACACCTTGTGGTGTGACCAAACATTACGCAAGGGGTTTGTGGACTTACAGGTCAAGCAGGAAATAAATGACTTAGAAATGGACAATATGGCCAAAGTCTTATATTGTGGTTTATGTCCTCCTAACTGGTATAGGTTTACCATACATAGGCCTTAAATCCATGGCCATAAGTGTGGTAGGTTTGATTTTGAAATTGGGGGGACAGGGACAACAATAACATTACCTATATAAATATATTTTAAGTTTTGATCAAAATTATTGTAAGGGATATATCAGCGTCACTGGATATTGGTAGGGACACGTCCGACGTCCTAGTGTCCCAACTAAATTCTGCACCCATCAGCAGCGAATTTCTCATGGCTGGGGGCACACATAAACAGAATCTGCTGATAACAGACACATTGACACGGAAGCGTATCAAATTCTCCACTATTGATATGATAGAATCGAGGAAATTATAAGTTTAAAAATGAAAGGAAAACAGCCAGTAGGTGGTGCCACGCCACCGTCTTGTGAGGTCAATCATTAATTCAGACTGTTGGGATTGCGAAGAGGCCATGGATTATAACTTTTTTCTATGTTGTTTTCTCGTGATGACGCCTTAATTTTCTCGTGATCTCAAGATTCCAAAAGTTGTTTTCTCTTATCTCGACTTTCTTGTGATCTCAAAATAACAAAACAGATTTCTCACGAAGTAGGCCTAACCTAATTGTATCGCGAGAAAATCTCGCACCTTGATGTAGGCATGTACCTAGTGCATCCAACAGGCTCGTTTGAGATGTACCTTGCCTCGCCTGAAATGTATGTGATTGTGAGAGTACGCGGCTGCAGTGAGAGGAGGAGTGAAAAAAGTGCAGGCAAGCCAGACAGTCTCGGTTCTCGCAGTGGAGCAGACACCTGTGAGATCAAAGCCTGATATTGCGGGATTCACGCTCGTGCACAGTCGGTGTTGCTAATAAACTGGATGTTTGCGATCTTTGCTGCACTGCTCACTCGCTCACTATTAAAGCCACAGTGCATTCTTGATTACATTTGAGTGGTAGGCTACGAATCAAATCGTCTGAATTAAACAATATCTAATGCCAGTCGTATGCATGTAGCCCTACTTCTGCGGTGCGAAGATTTTGTTGTGATTTTATTTTACAGGTAACAGCCCTAGACAGTAGTGCCTAACTTTTTGGTCACACCACAAGGTGTCACTGTGGCCTCAAAGCTTCAGCACTGCCACTCTGAGCTCGATTGCTATGTCTGAGGTAAAACCTGGGTAAAACACGCCCCCCTCATTAGCATACAGAGCAATACATGTATAAAGAAATGTATAAATAAATAAACGTAGACATGAATACATATATACATGTGAAATGTGAAAATAAATAAAAGTAGAAATAAATGATTATAGCCTAAATGAAAAAAGTGAAATAAATACCTATATTTAGTATACAAAAATAAGGAAATAAAAGTATAAATAGTCGTTTATGTTTGTTTTGTTTTACATTTATTCACATATTTATTTGTTTGCTTGTTCATTTATTTATTTAGTTATTTAATCATTCATTCATTTTTAATTGTTGCAGGTTTGGTAAGCCTATGTTTGACAGTAAGATAAACTTGCTTTCTGGAATACACTCCAGGAGATGTATGCAATGCGTGTAGGATATCTGAACGAAATGGAATAGAATTGGAATTTTCTACTGATAAAAGTTAAAACTAACCCGTTAGACGTTAGAGAACAAACTGATCAGAGACTGATGTTAATCACACGTGGATAAACAAACTATAGTAGAGGAAGTGTATCTTCTAGTCGGACAGAAATGTGCCCCTATGCAAAATCATTCCACTGAAAAGTAGACATATTTCCTCTAAAAATACATCCTGTTTCCTATAATTATGTAAACCACGAAAATTGTGCAGCAGCTCTGCTCAATTTTTGTAGCCTAATAGTTTTTGGCTAATAATGAAGAATATCAACTGAAGGTGACATGTTTATAAAAAATACATTAGCCACATTATTATCCCCAAAGAATTATGAGAGTAGTAAACTGCTCCCTTAACTCTGTTTTTATAAAGTTGAAATTTGTAAACAAACTTGAAATTTACAAAACCTACGGTTTACGTGAGCCTGGCATTAAATGCAAATTAATATAGCCCATTCGTTCTTTATGTTTTCTCTTTAATATATATATATATATATATATATATATATATATATATATATGGGAGCTGTTTGTGTAATATCTGGCTACACAATTATGAATGATCACAGGCGTGCTGTTAAACACGTCAGGGATACTCCGTGAATTTGCACTGCCAGTGTGTAAATGCAACTTGACACCGAGAGTGAGTATGGAGAGAGTGAAAGTTTTGACAGTGACATTGTTGGCTGATATCTGCTGAGGACACAGAGGTAGGCACTATTTCATGCTTTTTATGTCTTAAGAGAATGCGATAACATAAAACTGAATTTTAATATGTTATACTAAAATTATACATTCGTTTATTTACAGAAGTTAACAAATGAATCGTTTCTACATCCTATATTTAAAAAAAAAAACTGGAAACTTCACTATAGCGGTCGTTAAAGTGTAGTAGGCTAATGTAATGAAGTGTTTTTCTCCGATCTGAGGCCAGGTATTTATCGTAGCCTACAACTCTTTTGGTGCAGGTCACATAGCTACAAATCTGTAAAAAAAAAAAAAAAAAAAAATGTATAAAGGAGCTGCTGAAATATTCTTCAGAATTAGTTTCATGACAAGTCCTACTTGTACTGTATGATGTAAAGTTATACAGCTGTAGAATATTATATCCTAGTGTTTTATGCACCCCAACAAGTAATTGCCATATTTTAGGGCCACATTTTTATCTGTATAACAAATCTTAACTCTGCACTTAGCCTATATAAACTTAATTACGGCTGTGTATTTTCTAAGAGTGTGAGGTGTTTGTTGAAGGCTTAACCTGGCCCAGATCTCTTACTTCTGGTGCCTAGCCCAGTAATCTGAATTTAAACTGCAAGAATGGGGAAGGATGAGACATTTGCTTAACTATAGATATTTCACCCAAAATTAAATGTAATAATTTATTTGCCCTCATTTAATTCCAAACATGTTTGACTTTTTTTTCTTCTCAAGAGAAAGAGAGTTTTGAAGAATGTTTGAAGAATCACTAATCAAGTGAAAGGTGACCATGGACAAAAATCACCATAAATTAAGCTCATACTGCATATTCCAAGTATGTCTATATTCTATTCTACACAATCTTCTAATTGTTGTGTAGTCATGATAGCTTTTTGTGGGTTACAGATTGAAATTTAGGTTGTCATTCTTTGAAAGTCTTCCCTTGAAAATCTTGCTTCATGCACGACAGTGTTCACCATTCACCTTCATTACATTGAAAAGATATGTAGTCTGTTGTAAATAATTGCTTATGGGTTCAATAGAAGAAAGAAAGACGTAAGAAAGGTGAAATATGATAATCACACATTGAATTCATGAATACTTTTCCTCTATGCAATTGCCATGAGGTATAGGTGAGACATATGGGGTAAGCCAAATCTGAACATGATTATGAAATGAAAAAAAAAAAAAAAAAAAAAGAGAGAGGTTTCATATTAATCTAAAATGTTCACATATTTTGGCAGTTATTCAGAAAAAAAGACAACAGTTAATACACAAAAAAACTATTAACGTGTTCATCACATTCACAGAAAGCTATATTCCTTCATAGATATTTCATCACCTAACAAAAACTGTACACAGATTGCTAAATACAGAGGGTTCTCATTTTTCTCTCGAAATCAGTTTACCCCACATTCCCAATGAACTGCAAGTTTAACATACACTGTTTGTGGTTGTGATCCACTCACAAGCAATGTCACTTTTGCTAATGGCGGTTTCTCAAATTTCATTGAAATGTAGACCTTTGTAGTAGAAAAATATGTTGAGTGTGCTAACACTTCTTCTCACTGATATTGTTCAGCTTTACATGCCATTAAAATAAACACAGTCTGTGTCTGTGTTGTTTTCACATGGATTTACTCCAGAAGTAAATTAGTTGCCGTGGGTGTTGCCCTTTCATGCTTTGAAGCAGAGATCTTTTCTTTACACTCAAATTCTTTGATAAAACAAGTACTCTACATTTTGCCTGTCAACCCAGTATTAGGTATGATAAATGTCAAGCCCTTTCAGTCTAACTCATGGCTGTAATTTAACAGAGGCAAGAGAAGCCAAACTACCAGGCCAGCAGAAATGTGATTTATTGTGTTGGACGTACCCTGAACCTGACACTTAGATTGGTATGGCAGTTAAAAATCATATTTTGTATCTGTTTTAGCTTGTATTCCCAGAAGAGAGCATTCGACATTCATTAAGTTATTAACCAGAACATGAGAGGATGACACAATTACAGCCTGTAAAATTCGACCGATTTCTCTGTTTGATGAGGAGCTTGCACGCAAAACATCATTGGATGCAGTTGATCCTCTGTATCTCATGTGTTGCCTTGTGTCAGTGTGTATCAATGAATGTTCACACCTATCTGTGAGCGGTGAACTGGAGCGTAAGTCTGTGTGTGTGTTTTACCGTTATATGTGCTTCTTGGTGTGTGTGTATTTGTGAACAAGCCTCTTTTTGTCTGTGGGTTTGGATGAAGACCTCTTCCTCTCCTCCTGTCTGAGTATGGTCAGGTTGCAGTGTAAGTGTGAATGTGGCACCTGTGTGCTGTAATCCTGTTGAGTGGGCTTCCCATGCTCCATCGGTCAAAGAGGCTCAGCCTTCATCACTGACACACACGAGGCCCTGGAGTTTAAGCCATCTTCACTTCTTGCTTTTCTTTAATCATCCATTCTGCTGTACATTTCTGCATCGTACAAACAGTATGTTAAAAGAATATGTCTGAATTCACAGAACAGCAAGAGAAAAGGTACCGGGATGACAGGCGAGATTCTAAAGTGCGCATTCAATGGACACTTTACTATCCCATGAGGCCACGGGAGAGGATTTGTGATTATATACATAAAAAAAAAAACTTTTTTAACAGGTGCAAAGTACCTAATCAAACAGTATGCAATTTGGGACGCAGCCAGTGATTCATTTGTGAATTTGACTGATTTGACCGCAGCAATCGACAACTCACATTTGGAGCGAGTCTCAAGTAATTTAATCTTGTCTATAATTCATATGTCAGACTAAAATTAAATCTATTTGAGCTCTATCCTATCTGACAATCTCTCTATTAAAGCATGAAGATGTAATGTTATGTTATGTTACTCATTGTCCCTAGTGGGACACAAGTCATCACTGTGCGTCTGTGCGACCTTGTTTTCTTCTGCCAGATGGTGTTCTCATCATGGCAGTCTTTGCGATTCGATCCTAGTCCATTCTGAGAACATGTCCAAGCCATCGGCTTTGACGACGCTTGATCTCAGATATACAACATATCCTCCTGAGGCATCCATTGTGAAAGGCGCTGAACTTGTTCTTGTCGCTCAGTAACTCGCCAGCATTCTGAGCCGTACAGCAGGACTTTGTGCTCTATGGAGTAGATTACCAGACCGTCTTTAGTCTGGCAAATGCACCTCTAGCTTTTCAGAGCCTTGCTTGCATGTTTATTTTGTGTTGCATTATCCTTTCTGATGAGGCTTCCTAGGTATGTAAAGTTGTGGACATATTCCAGTGGTTCATTGTTGACCATGATTTGTTGCATTAGGGATGGAATAAATGCATATAACTTTTGCATTTGAAGGGCCACCTGCATGGCAAAGCGACAAAGTATGTCAAATATCCTCACAAGCCACCCCCCCCCCCCCCACTCATCCTCTTTTCACTCATGTGGTTTCAATGTTTCACCATCTTCTGTTGTGTCACCAAAACATTGATACAAAAAAGCTTGAGGACTTCTGGGAGATAAGCAGGGCTTTCTTTGCCCTGCTCTTATGAAACCACTCTTAACATACCATCTCACCCCTCACTTTATGCTGTGGAGGACAACATCTAATAGTGTCAGAGTTTATGTGCCTTAATCTTCTCTTCCTCACCATCTCACTCAAGAGCTTCAGGTCATCCAGCTTTAAAAAAAAATAAATAAATGGGGGTTGGGTGGACTTACATTTAACACTATTTCTCTCTGTGCCTGTTTCAATTGCACACATCTGCCCTGCAGGTGTCTACACTCTTTCCTCTGTGTTACAAGACTGTGGCAGTTATGGGAAACAGGGGCATGTTTCTACACGTGAAAGGCCCCTCTGATGAATAGTTGCCTTAGTAGGGGGGGAAATTACAGGACAGAGCATTCTTCAGTTGCTAAGAATTGAACACTTGAACATTAAATCCTCACCTGAGAGAGAGTGTGTCTGAGCTGGTATTTGTCTGTTTGTGTTTGCCCTTTTCTCCATCCAGTCTAGCACGACAAATCTTACTTCCATCATTCAAATTCTGTACCTAAAATTGATAAATTGTGAAATACCTGCTCCGAGACAAGAAGGTTGAGATCCAAATGCAGTTTATAAGAGTAATCCAGAATGGTAATCAAACACAGGCAAAGGGTCAAACTCAGGAAGGCAGTCCTAACAAACAAACAAACAAACAAACAAGGGTCAGAGGCAAAAATCCAAGAGACAATGAAACCATTGAGAATGCTTAGAAATGCACAAAAACATACAAAACTTCTCAGTGAGTGATAGGGTGAACCAGGCTTATATGGGGTGAGCTAAATAAGATAATGTGATAGAGGTGAATGTGATAATGGATGAAAAGTCCAGGCAGTAAGTTATGGAAAATGTAATTTGTGAGGGAATGACAATAGTATGATGTGGAGTGCTTTCTGGGGCAATCCAGCTGGTGACCGTTACAGCAGCAGTCAGTATTACACTGATTCCCGTCACTATTTATTATTCCTTGCCTGTTAACAATATTAAAATTTCACTTATATTGCTCCGGACAGTTTTAAAGAACGGTTCCTGGACCCCCTCGAAAACGAGATGTTTCATCTCAAGGGGTTATCCTCAATAATAAATTCAATTCAACAGTTGAATTGAGGTAGATGCATCATTAGGTACTGTGTAAATCCAGCGGTGGTTGAGATAAATTCAGACAGTGGCCCATATACAGAAGCATTGAGAGAACAGATGTTCTGCTGTACAGCACATTTAATAGTCCATTCAGGACCATTCAGCCTGACCATTACTGCAGAAGGTAGATTATTTAAAGAGGTGCTGGATTTTTGATCCAATTGATAGTGTGATTTGTTTTAAGTCAAACACTACCGTCAACATTTTTTTTGGATCAACACATTAATTCACCAAGGATGCATTAATTTGATAAAAAATATTTTTTTTTTGTGTGGAAGTTTTATAGATTTGTTATGAACATTGAACACTCACTAATTCTTTCCTTCTCTATCCTGTAGTCCACTACTTGAGTCAGTATGAATGGTCCCTTAAGTCCCAGACGGGAACCAGGACCTGACCTCTCCTGTCTGCACCTATACAACGAGTGGTTGGCATGTAGGCATGAGTCCAGTCTCCTGCCCATGAAAGAAGATCTGGCCATCTGGCTAAATAGGATCCTTGGTAAGAAAATAAAAGTATATTAATATTTGGATTAAAAAAATGCGAAATGATAACCTTTAAGAAGAGTTCGTCCAGACATGAAAATTCTGTCATCATTTACTCACCTCATGTCATTTTAAAATTATATGATTTCATTTTTTCTGTGGATCACTAAAAAAATATGTCTTAAAGAGTGCTTGTAACCAAACTAATTTGGTGGGAAAAAACGAGACATTTCTCAAAAATACACTGGCTGGGCTCAATCTTTAGGGCAACATTGAATCTTTTACAACAACCATAAATTGCTTTTGGCAGTTCAACACATGGAAACTTCTAACTAGATCTCAAGTGTGTCAAGGAAAGTTGTAAATGTAAAATTATAGCCGATCCCAGGTCACCAATAGGCCCACTTGTTAAATTATCAGTCACAACTCCAGGAGAAGCACTGTACCTTGTGCTTCCCAAATGCAATTTTCTGTACATGTTTTGCATTTCAGCTTTACTGCTGTATCAGTAATTTAAGTTTTTCTAATTTGAATAAAATCTTATGAGTAACAAGGATTCAAGGTTACCCATTTTCCCATTCCCATTGCTTGGTGTCAGTTCAAAGGATAAAACCTTGTTTACACAGTTGGATAAAATCTTGATCGTATCCTACACAAGCCCACAGATATGGATTATTCTGTATCTGCCCATCAGATCATGAATATCATGGTGTTTACAAACAGCAGCCATTTTAAATAGAATTCCTTAAATTCTTCTGCATCTTGGATCAATGGGACATGCCCTGATGGGACCTTAAAAGAGGAATTGCCTTTCTCAAACAGACCAGGATATGAGCGTCTTATACGAGTCCCTGCATGTAGAACCTTCTAAGACAACTGGGGGCTGAAGAGGTTTGATAAAAATAAAACGCGTAAAGATGTAAAGAGATTAAAAAAAAAAAAAAAAAACACACACACAAAAACCCTTTAGCCAACAGGCTGGTGGTACTTAAATATAAGTCAAGACACAACAACCTGAGAAATGAGATTAGAAGGGAGACAACATCAGAGTTGTTGTTCTCACCAAAGAAGCTGATGATAGATTTCTCTGATTAACACACACTTCTCTCCCTTAACTCTTCCTGTTCCTGTTGATCTGAGGGCAAGTATTATGGCTTTGTGGTTGACGGACAGCAGGAGATCTCTTGGTTTGCCTACACATTCGTCTCTCACTCTGAGCTAATAATCATCCCCATCATTGTGCACATCAGGATTTCTGTTTTTGTTGTGGTTTCCCTCCACCGTCACTTCCTGTATTCCCCCTCCCTAGGCCCCCCAGGCCGCCCACTTCCCCTTCACTGTGATGGTTGAGCTCCGGTACCACTGCTGTGTCTGAATCTGTATGTACTTAACACCCAGGCCTCAGGAATGTGTCTGCACAGCCGTGAGAATCTGAGAGCAAGTGTACTTAGAGGATTTTTTGGGGCGTCTTGGAGTTGCCTAAGGTACTGAAAACTGATAAATAAAAGATGGAGAAGAGGATATGTAAGGAAGGTAAAACAACAACCATAAAACTTGTATTGTACTGCGTGTATGCCAGTAACGAAACGTGACTCTTGAACCTTGGCACTCTCACCCCTTTCCCTCGTAGGACAAAAACTAAACTGAGCCTTAAATCAGCCTAGCTTACTGTGTCCTCTTCTAAAATATTGCATGTTACCTTTGACAAGAAAGGCCACAAGCAAACATCAGAGTGAGCGTGAGAGTTATCACCAAAATAAAACAAAAAAGTAATAAAATGCAAATCACCGATACGAAGTGTTACTGTATCATCACACAATCTGTGTGTCATTTCAGTGGAATATGGTGACAACTGGCCACAAAACCTACTAAATGTAATGTGAACGACGCATCATGACAGCGCTCAGACCAAAGCGCATTAGCGACAGACATTTCCTCATTTGTTTATAATTAATCATATCATTAGACTGACACAGCTGCCAATTAAATGTATGTAACAGACCGTATTAAACTTGGGAAAAATGATACTATTATGCAGAATTAGCTAAAGCTAATTTTCATTGTTGCTAAGTCAGTAAATTTACAGACTGACCAGTAATTCTGCAAAATAACGGTTTCCTAAACTAAGGGTAACTACGTTTACACGACAGCGATATGCTTAAAACTGAGAAGTTTTTCCTTTGACACCATTGTTAAATCAATCCCCATTTACACGGATCCGCGGAAACTAAAAATGTCTTCTGCTGCCAGGCGGTTAGATGGAGATGAAACCCTATAGAACACATAATACGCATGTGCATGACATCATCATTTTCAGAGATTGGTTGTTGCTTACATGGAGACCGTTTTCAGAGGTTTGCGTTTTCAGACCACCAAAACGCCGCTGTCGCATAAAAATTCTTCCGTTTTTAGTTGAAAACGGTATCATGTAAATGGCCCCTGAAGCTTGACATAAATCAGTGGCAGCGGCGGCCAGAATATAATCAGTCATGTAACCTATTAGCATTCAAAGAACCCAAACAGCAAACAATTCCAGCAGTAAAGCTTGATTGATTCTGTCATCCAGTGTAATCGTTTATAATTGCTGGGATCGAAATGGTTTAAATAAAGCTTTGGGTTTTTTCACAAAATGAAGCTAGATCTTCCTCTGCCACTAACTCCAGCTTTTCTTTAAAAGTGAATCTTGAAAACGGCGGGGATGATAAATAGCAACAATATCCTCATCATTGGTGTTGCTTGCGGTTTCCATAGCGAATAACGATCGCCGTTTTTTTTTTTCGATCGAGTTCCTCACATCGAGCCAAACACGTCACACTGTAAACTTGATCATGCATGGCAATCCCTACCCATTTAGAGGAAATATGATTGGTCATTTTTCCTGTCATTTGAAATCAGTCTGTAGCCTAATTTCACAGATGGACCACCAACCAAAGAGTTGAAAGCAGATTTGAAGGGTTTATTATTTATTTCCTCAAAAAGATTTAGATGTTTATTGTCAAGTTATAAATTCCTAAAATAACAGTAGAACTGATGACTTTTTATTAAGAAAGTTAATATTTAAAAGTTTGTTAATATAAGTTTAGGTCCTCTCAGAGGTTCCCCTTGAACTAAGTGTCACTATGCATATTACAGCTGCCAGTTCATCCATTCTTTATCTCTCTCCTAATGTTCATTTGTCCCTCTAAATACTTCCTGTACAGGTTTGGATATAACAGTGGATAACTTCATGGACAGACTAGACACTGGTGTCGTCTTGTGTCAGCTTGCAGAAGCGCTACAGGAGAAAATGATTATGGCCAGCATTGGCAAGGTGCTCATAATATGGGTAGTTTGAACCTAAACTTAATCTGAAGATGTGTCTTAAAATGAGCACATAATAAGCTAACCAGAGTTACAATTTCTGTTATGTTCATAGCCCTTTATTCGGCGCGTGGTTCGCTGGCGGCCTGATGCAGCCTCTGGATCGTTCTTTGCTCGGGACAATACAGCTAACTTTCTTTTCTGGTGCCGTAAAATTGGGGTTGAGCAATCACATCTGTTTGAGTCTGAAGATCTTGGTGAGTACCTCAAAGCAGCAACAGATTTCTCTTATCCTATCAAGGATAGTTTTTTGTTGTTGTTTATGTTTAAGATATTAGCTTGTGAATACTCTTTCTTTGTGATTAAAGGTGGGGTACGTCGTTTTTGAAATATGCTGTTGGCCAATTAACATTTGAAATTTGACAAACACACCCCTTCTTCATTTCTCCGCCTCCAAAACGCACACTCCGAACTCCAATCCTAACAGCCCTGCTCTGAACCCCGATCCCTCTGCAAGCAAGTCGAGTGCACTAAACAATGACGTATTCACTGATGCGATGCGGTAGCTACCATACACCGAATTCACTAGCATAGGGTGACCATATTTTGATTCCCAAAAAACCAGGACACTCGGCCCGGCAAACAGATACTCAAATGATACTCGAAGTTTACTCAAAGATATGCCTTATTAATTTAACAGGTTTCAAAAATAATGAATGAAATAATAATAGAAATAATGTCTATTCTGTATTAGAAAAATAAATATATAAATAATAAATAACAAAAAGAAATACCTCCAAGTTGAACAAAAAATAGCTCTCACAAACTTACAAAAACGTACTAACAAAATATATTTATATCTTTAGTTTTCTTCCTCTTTATCCCATTTTTCACTTCCTTAACCTACTTGTTTGCCCATCTATCTTTTGCTGTGGAGATGATTTTTCCCAGCAGTTTAAAAAAAACAAAAAAACAGGAGATTTTTATCACTTTATAAAAAACAGCCTGGATGGCCAGGACAGGACATGTTCTGGGAAAACAGGACTGTTGGTCACCCTACACTATAGCAGTCATCAGCTCTAACTAACAGGCCTCCGTTATGCAGGCAATCCAAGAGTGGATGTCTGTTTACAAAAGCTACACAGAACAATGCTTCACGAAAAACAAAGCGCAGATAATGAACGGATGACAAGGAAACATTAACGTACATTATACCCATAATTACAAACAAGAGTGCGGTTGTTAGTTGCCAACTCCACAGCAGCTTAAGACACACGATGACACTTAAACCCACTGTTACTCACGTGTGGAGTTGAATCAAAGCAGCCTCCGCGTGTTTTCAGGCCTTCCCACTTCTCTCTCTCCAGCGCTGGACAGCGTTTCTAATATTAATGCGGGTCCAAACGTTCTTGCCCAGATTTACCGTAACCCTTTACTTTCCTCAGTTCAAATCTCCCTCTTGCTCGTTCTCTCTCCTCCTCCACCACACGCCCCCCTAATGCTGATTGACTGACACATACTGTATGTTGTATCAGACCGACTAAAATCCAAACAGCATATTTCAAAAACTACTGATCCCACCCTTTAGCTGACTAGGTTCTTTGGTTTCATTGGTTACATCTGAGACTACTTACCAACAATCCTGAGAACTACGTACACATTTTCAGCACATAAATATCTGTGATGTCCTTGCCCACTTTCACACTTATGAGATCATAAAAGGGTCAATTCACCCAAAAATTCATCATTTACTCACCCTCATGTCGTTCAAAACCTGGAAGACTTATACAATTTTATACAAATGTTTTTGTTTTTTTTTTGTTTTGTTTACTAACCTTTTAAGTGAGATGTCCAGTTAGAACAGGCCTCAATTCCTCTGTCTCTGTGTCTATGCAGGCTGTCGTTCTGTGGGGCTGTGACCCTAAAGTACTGCTGAATAGCCAAGCGGTATCAATATCTGTGTCACTCTACTGTTCACAGCGTCACACCCTTGGCCCCTGCTGTCCATCACTGTGTGACGAATAATGGAGAGAAAGAGAAGGAAATAGAAATGAAAGGACAGTATGTCAGGGGGAAATAGGGGAATAAAAAAAATAGGGTCAAAGATAGAGAATACAATACAATAATTGTGAAAATGAAAAAGAGCGGACATTGAAAGGTTTTGAGAGGATAGATAACATAATGCTGGTGTTCAATAACTGCTATAAATGCAACAGAACCCTTTTCTCAGTCTTTTAGCTCTGGTTGTTTTACAGGTTTATAGGTCATATTGCATGAAGAGAGGGCTGAAAAAAAAAAACTTAAAACCTGAGGGACATTTACAGTGACAGAAGTTGAACCAGTTTGTCGATCGAACTTTGTGTCTGTGCTTTTTTTAGTTGACTTTTGAATGTGCCCATGCCTGCATTTCACTATTTAAAACTAAAATTAATGTGCATTTTCCAAATTCATAAAGATAACATTCTGTTTATTTTTAAACCTCAAATTAGTGTACATGGACACCTAATTATTAGGACTGTAAATCTAGCCCAAGTTTATCATAGTTTTACTTTTTTTTTTTATTTAGCTATTGTAACTTTGTTTTCATAAGGATTCACACATTCAAACCTTGTCAGAATGTAAGGGAGACATATGTCTAATTTCGTTCTTGTTGATACAAGTTTCAACTCCCTTTGACCACAAAATTAGCATGTAGTTTTTTTCCCCCAACTTTTTCCACTGTACAACAAAGACAACACTAATGTCACTGCAAACACTACAACGTTTGTTTTGTGTCTGCATGGCAAAGGCTCAAAAATGGGTTGGGAAGTTCATGCAAACATCTTTTAATGTCTTAGTTAGAGAATGAAAATGCTCTTCAGTGTTTATATGGCTATTGTCTCATTAAGACATGACTTATGCTTTTTATTCAGTATTTTGACTTGTTTTCCAGGAAAAATATCGAAAAAAGCAAGATACATTTTCTTGAAACTAAATGACACAAGGTATACAGGCTTTTTTTCAGAGAAATCAAACAAAAATTTTGTAAAATGAAGAGAAAAGAATTTGCCAAAGGGGTAAGAAATAAAAATAAAATGAGTTTTAAAACTAATAAAAGTGTTTTTATTAAAGTTTAATTGGAATATATATATAGTTCTTAAACCTCTTAAAACCTTAAAATTATTATTTTTTTATGATTTATGATATGCTACTCAGATACATTTATCTTGTTTTTAGGGTGTATAGATTTATAAATAAAATCTTGATATATATATATATATATATAGATATAAAGCTGAGGCTTCTTCAGTCATTCTCATTCGCAGGGTATGATAATGTTATTTGTGAGATTATAATGTTATATAGCTGAATAGACGTATCAAATGTCTTTTCGCTTCGAGAATCTTTGTGACTATCAAAGCTTGGTCTTGTCCATTGTTACACCCAGGGTAAAGTATACATTTGCTTTAAACATGCTATATGTCTCTGAGGATTTCGCTGCATGTGTGCATATGATAATGTATGTGTTTTACCAGTTCTTCAGAGGCATCCGAGGGATGTGTGCTTGTGTCTCATGCAACTTGGCAGAATTGCTTCAAGGTGAGTTCCTTTGACTCTTTACAGTTGTTTACTATCACATGTCTTCATCATATTTTCATCTCATTCACAGCTGAATAAACGTTCTCCCTCAGGTATGGCGTTGAGCCGCCTGCGTTGGTCAAGCTTGAGAGAGAGATTGAGAAAGAGGAAGATGAGTCTCTGTCACCGTCCATGTTCTTTGCCTCACCTCTGCCGTCTCCCTCCACCCCACCTGTTTTTTTCCCTCCTGATCCAGAGCCCCCTGCAATCTCAACCCCCTCATTCATCTCTCCTCCTTCCCCTCCTCTGGCCCCTACCCCTCCCCCAGAGTCCACATCCATCTTCTCTGACTCAAACACCCAGTCAGAACCTCAGCAAACTCCACCAACTACACCATCACCCATCAGAACACCCGTCAAATCAAAGCCACCCTCTCCGACAAACAGCCTTGCCAAGTCTAATGGGAAAAAGAGCAGCGGTAACCTGCTGGATGAGATTGTGAGTACTTTCAGGGTCATATACTGTAGGCCTATGCGATTTCCCAATCATTATCAAAAGCATGTTTTCTTTGTTGCTTTGTTTCAGGTGAGGGATATATCAGAGGATCCACCATGCAAATGTCCAGTCAAATTCTGCATTGAAAAGCAGCCAAAAGGCCATTATCGTGTCGGAGACAAAGTTCTCTATGTCAGGGTATGTACCATGTACTGCTCTTTCCATCACAATTGTTACTCGATATTTTATTTGTGTGGAAGGATATGAAGCGATATGAAAACTCATGTCTCATTATTTGTGATAAGCATCTACATTTGCTGTGCTTTCACTGTTTCTTTAAAAGCACAAATATTAGTTTTGAACCTGAAAGAGCACAGTACTCAGTCAAGGCAAAGCCTCATGGGAGCCTCATGGTGTTGCCTGGCAACATGAAGAAAAGGTTCACACCTTTGAATAGGGAAAAGGGAGGTTCAGACTAACAAATATCTAGGATTAGGGCTGTAAAGTCGGTTCATATATACCAGAAAAGAACACAAAAATAAAATGCTCAGTCAAACTGAAAGTACACAGAATTTAGATTATATTAAAACTCAAAAATGCCTAAAAGGTCACATATGGTATTGAGTATATGGTATGAGACAATGCATCTAAACTCTTTAGGGAACAGTTGAATTCTTAACAGACTTGTCACTTTGTTCATTTGGGGTCATATACAAACTCATTAAACATATTGGAATACACTCACTGTATGTAACACTGTCACATTAACAGCCATCAATACATCAAGCTTTTTGTGAATGTTAATTAGAACTTCCCTTGCTTTTGTCATTTTGAAATGTATCTAGCAATACAAAGTCATAAAACTCTGGATGGCGCAGGCTAATAGGTCCTAAACTCAATCTGCTTGGAATCACATTATTCTCTTGTAACGGTGGCTTTACCAAACCAGTATGGGTTTTCAATTAACCTAGGTTGGTTTAAAATTATTCGGGCACCAGACAAGATCAACTTGTCACAAAAAAACAAAATAGATATATATATATCTATGCTGGAAAGCTCCAACCACTGTTACATACAAAAAAAAACAAAAAATAATAATAATAAACTGATGCCCACAATTCAATTTTCTCAGAGTTTGTATTATTATTATTTTTCACATGACAAAACCAATGGAACAATTTCCAGTTCACATTCAGATTTTCACTCAAAGAGAAGTCAAAGTAATTGAATCACAAGTGTCCACAATTCCTCAGTCTTTCATTCTCCACTTAATCAACAACAAAAAAAAAAAATGCAATAAACAAAACCAAGAAAAAAAATAAACAAATACAGTTAGGTATTTGGTGTATGCGCGTGCGTTTTCGGCGCGTGTATGTGTGTGCGTGTGTACAATTTCCACGTGAAACAGTCTGTGCAATGGCCGGCAATCTCTGGCCGGGAGAATGAGGGTTTTTCGTGAAGTTAAGAAGAGTTCGAAGGCTTTGGCGTGAGGTTAAAAGCGATGGACAACAAGAACAGTATGTTACCTGAAGCAGGTGAATCAAACTGGCTTATGTGGCTCCAGGCAACGCAACACCCCCGGCAGAGCTTTATCTCTCCGTCATTTCGGCAATCGCACCCAGCAGCGTACACACAGAATTTCCAGCAGAGTCCTTCCGGTAACTCGGGTCTCCCATCACTCCTACACGTTTCCTTCTCTCACTTCCGTTTTTTTTCTCTCCTTTACTTCCGTTTTAGCTCTCTTTTATTCTGCTATTTCCTCATTGGTTTCCGCCCATAAAGAAACATGGAAAGCTGATTTGGATCTTTTTTTTCTCCATATCGCCACACTCTATAGGGCGCAGATGATTGGTTCCAGCTGTATAAGTAGCCAATGAGCTGCTGCTCAACCTTCAAATACTTGGTCAGAATTTGCAGTAGCATTTGCAACACGCTTTCAGAATCCCCCCACCTTCCCCAGCTACGGGTAATTCATACAGCAGCTGCATGTCTTACTTGCTCACAGCAGTGTATCGGTGTATGTATTGGCAGTAGCAAGTCCATTCTTGTTCTGCAGCAATAAGAGCAGCAGCATAGCAGATATATTCCGCCAAGACCAAACATCATATCCATTACCACCATGCCAAATACTCAGAGTTGTCATTACAGATCTTACTTTCTTCCTAGAAACACAAACCAAACATTGAAATCTACTTTTAAATATCAAGTCAATAACGTGTGTATAAGTCTCTCATCTGGAGTGGAGAATTGAACAAAATCTTTTTTTCATTTTCTCCAATGATACTATTGGGGTCATTTTAAGCAACAAGAGACAATTTACTTAGAATTCACTGTTGTTAGACTATAGATCTGCACTGATTTGATTGCAAAAGTTGCCTTAAAAGTAGAATTAATTTATACGTTGGTTACTGATCGAGTGATTGGTAGCGTGATTGTATTCAGAGACTTAAAGCCTTCGCTCCACCACCTTTTATGATTTTTCAATCAGACAAATCCTTCAGGGCAACAGTATGTGGCAGAGGAAGAAAAGCAGCTGCTTTCTGTCAGAGATCCAATTAGAGAGAGAGGCTTACTGTAGCAGTCAAAGAGAAAGGGAGCTTTTAATATCATTTCTCAACCTTCTTTTCAGTGGAAGGGAGTGGGACATGTTTTTTGTGTGTATGTGTGTGTGACATCCTGGGCTAAAATGAAAGAGAAGGAATATCCATTAGACCATCACAATGGCTGAGCTGTTTAACGGACGGGGTGAAGAATCGGTGGTGAATCAATAAGAAATACGATTCATGCCATGTCTGTCATTACCAGGGATGTTAATGGGTTCATGAATACTTCTCTCTTTAGATCTGACTGGATAACATAATGCCATAAATAAAGCCAATAAACAATAAAGCCAAACTTATCTTATTTAAACACAGACATGTTGAAAACTGTTTACCTTTATCTGGCAAACTCTCCTTTTACAGACACCTCATTTAAATGAACATGGCTAACATCTTCATAGCCTTTTAGCACTTTTTGTACGTTTGTGTATTTCTGCTATATGCTCCTCTAAGTTTATCTTTCTTTGCGATCTGTTCAGTAATTAAGGACATATTCATTATTCATTCTTTTTACATAAAAGGCAGATTAAGGGACTGATATGAATCACATCCAGGTGCGTCAAGGACAGAGGTAGACAACAAAACAGCCCAGGCCCTGGTGGTCTTGTCTCTATAGCAGCTTGATGTGCTTTAAAGGGACTGTGGCGCAGTGGATAAGACACATGGCTTTGGTGTGTGATTCCCGGGTTTGAATCCACTTTGAGACACCAATGAATCCACTGTGAAACACATACTAGCTATTTGAACTCTATCCTGGATATTATGTACTCAATCAGATCCTGTTCAAACAAGGATATAAAAGCTACAATCTGCCATCTAGTGTTGCAGTGTATTAACAACAGCGCGGTCGCTCTCGTCTTTTTTCCATTCATTCCATTCATCAGTGGAGAAAAAAAGACGATTGAAAAAGACTAAAAATATATTTCGCTGACATTAAATATAATGTGATGAGAGCTCTAAAGAGTGTTGTAAACGCGAATAATATGGAACGAGTTTGGAGTTTGACTTTGACCACCACACGAGCTTTCAGAATAGCATGTAAATTATAGTGGAACACACTGTTCTTCCCAATCTATTCCATTTTGCACTACTGAATTAATGCGTAGGGCCTAACATACATACCTACTTTCATTTTGCACTGTCGTCGACTGTTTTTATTTACGTAAAGGTTTGACTGACGCGGGGTTTCCTTAAACAGACTCACCCTCCTCCCTCACGGCTTTCTGTGTGTTTGCCAATTCCGCCTCGCCCTCACCTCTTCTGTCAACCCTGACATTTTAATCTGCTTGGGAACAGCTGAGACTGATCAAACCGCATGGTAATTAGAATTACCCTGCTTGGCAAACGTGCGCGCTCACGAATAGGCTATATCCCTCTATTAGGATGCATCAAGCTAAAGGGTTTGGAGGGGTGGGAGGTGCAAAACATATAAATCTGGTTGTATTACCAACAGCTTAACATCTTTGTAATGAGAGGGTCAAGACTGATAAGGTGGAGGGGAGGAGGAAATAGATGACTGTCGTGCCTCAAGGGACAGAGAGAGACACATTTCTCAGGAGACATGACCTTAGTTTCAGTGCCTTACCTATTTCGTGTGTCTTGTTGCCGTGGCAGCGTATGAGTTTTACGTCACGCGCCATAGGTATAGGATATTTAATGCCTGTGTGTATGTGGATTTTTCCTGCGATGGTGTTCAGCTGGTGCCATGAGTGGTGGTGTTTCATTAGGCTTAATGAGATTTTAACTCCCCCCCCCCCCTCTCTCTCTCTCTCTCTCTCTCTCTCTTTCTCTTCTTTTTGACTGGGATCATTTGCCTTTCATCGGATCTGTTGCATATTAGATGTAGCCTAGACATTGAATATTTTATGAAGGAGGAGGGGGGAGATCATTTTAAAGTCACAGACACACACACAGCAGAAATTGCAATTTTCAATCTCCCCCAATTTTTAATCTTAAACTAAAATTCATAAAATATTGATTACATAATTTCAGTATTTGTTTTATGGAAATTATTTATATAAAATGTTCAAAAAACATTACTGTCCCGCAGACATGGCATCATTGTAATCACAATGGACAATCTTTCCCCTAATAAAGTTATTTAGAAGTTACAAGAGTATCAGCGAGTAAAATGTTTCAGATGTAATATGTGTGATGTGTGAAGACACCAATAAAACAAAATCAAGGTATAGATATAGACAATGTTTTGATTGAACAAATCATGTTTTCTCTCTTTTACAGATGTTGAATGATAAACATGCCATGGTGCGTGTTGGTGGTGGATGGGAGACCTTTGGTACTTACTTATTAAAGCATGACCCGTGCAGGATGACCATGATCGCCCGGCCTGGAACCAAAATATGCAAGCCCAGCGGCAGGTCCCCAGTCAAGAGAGAGCTGTCTCGGGACAGTTACATGGTCGTGGGTACTCACTCCCGCTTTAAGAAGTGATGTGACTGTAGGCTGATTTAGTTTTTCTAGGGAAGCAGCCCAGGTGGCTTGATCTTATTTGAGGGCAGTAGTCCTGGGCCTTTTTGGTCATCATCATGACTCACAAATGTGTCTGATAGAGTCACAGACAGCTTATCAACTATTCTGAGGATGCAATAGATTCAGCCCAAGGTATGCCAATGTTGCTTATTGATCAATCTACACTTAATGATTATATTAATGAATTTCTGAGTTTTGTTTTTGTATGATACACAATTTTGGTACTGGGCTTGGGTCACCATTTGAAGTCCAATGTAAAATCTGCCATGATGCAAAGGAATATTGATCTTTGCGGTCTTATATAGTAGACTTATAAACATGTGTTCTTTTTGTTCAATATAATATATTATATTATATTGAACAATATATATTATATATTATATTGAACAATATATATTATATATATTCTTAATAATATTATTAAGAATTTCTAAGACTTTTTTTTCCTTTAAATATTAAAAGCATAAAGGGCGGGATCTCTAAGATTAAATCATTAACTGGCAAGCCAATATTGATTTACTTTATTTTATTGTAACTTTTCATTTTGAATCGATTTATGGCTGTTATGCTGTATTCTGAAGTTAAAGTTTACAAAAATTTCTGTAATTTCTTTTGAATGAGGGTTTAAAATGAACTTTTTCCTCAAAGATACTCTAGGCGGCGCCCTATATCAAGTGATGAGCTGTATTTCAGGACTAGAATTTCGGCAACATTAACTTTTTGTGTAGAAATTCGTTAGACTGTGAAAAGATAACAATGTAATAGGTAACACTTTACAACGAGGACCGATTAGTTAACGTTAGCAAATATAAACTCATGAGCAATGCATTTATTACAGTATTTATATAAACTGTTCATTGTAGTTCATGTTAGTTCAGGTCTATTTAATAATATTAAAACGACTTTTGATTTGAATAATGTATTAGTAAATGCTGAAATTAACTAAGACTAACAAATGCTTTATAAATATATTTTTCATGTTAACTAGTGTATTTAACTAGTTTACAAATGAAACCTTATTGTAAAGTGTTACTGAAAGTATATTAAACCAGACTCACCTACCCTATATACTTCCCTTCAGGAATATTATTATTAATTGTTTTACATAAGTGTGTATTCTTGTATATGTACTCAGCAAGCCAAACTGATGCCCAGGGGGGACTATTACATTAAAAAGTATTTTAATTAAAAAAAAACAATGAAATATAAATGAAAAGTACCTCTTGATAAAATGCTACTAACATTTTATTTCATAAAATAAAAGTCATTTTAAAAAATTGACACAATCTAAATACACTGAAATTAATCAATATGACGGCATGCGAGACAATGACACCTGTTTTCTCCTTATGAAATGAACCAGTAAAACAGTTCATTCCCAAAAATAAATAAAAAAGTGGTGCTACTTCCGCTGCCAAAGAAAATGGCAGCATTTGTACAAATGTCTTTCATATCTCCCCAGAAGTGACAAAACACCTGAAGCTGCTTTTATTTGAGAAGCTTTTTTTTACACATTGTTCTTGTGCTCTTTTACAGTGTATCCTCTCCAAAACATTCACATTCTCACATTTTCTAAGTGCCATTTATTACTTCTTTGCCACTTTGTTTCCAGTCAATACATGATCTGCAGTTCATCAGAAAGGTCACACTCAATAAAACACTTTCCTATCTACCTAAAGAGATTTGTTCTTTTGGCTTTGTTCATTTTATGTTTGTGCCAATCAGCCGTATAGCATTAAAGCACAACCATAAAAAGGACTGGACTCCTTTGTTTCCCTCAAATATTGTCATTTACAAAAACATTCCAATTTCCCAAAATACGCACTCAGAATACAGAATACCACAGTATTTGTCGTCTCACGTTAACTATTGCATTTACCTATCCCCACTGTGAATACCAACATCAGTACGTTACTCTCAGGAATTGATCTGGATTTTGTGGAGGTCTATGAGACTATGAATGTATTTGACAAAGACATGTGCGGCATTGTTAAATGATTTATGATAACTGTGCTTCTCACAGTAGTGTCCTCAATAAATAATATCCATTGGTGCGAGAAGAATCAATATGAATTATTCATGATAATGTGGAGACACACTCACTCTTAAAAAAGACATTACCATATTATTACTATATTAAAGCCTGTAGGGGTTGTTTAAAATATTGTTTGGTTGGAGTTGGTCATACAAACATGATGTAAACATTAATATCTTGTCGTGTGTCATGTAGCTATTGCAGCAAACTAAAAACCCCACTCCTGCAATCCATCATCTTGATTTAAATTCTGTACATTATGCTTTCGGTATTTAGACCCCATATATCACTTTTTGTGACTAAACATAACACTGAATCCCTTAGAAATCCTCAACTTGCATGTGCAAGAGCTTTACTATTCAACAACATTCAGTTGTGGTTGGAAGGTGCAGAGCTCCTGTTTAACTGATTCTAAGCATGTTGTGCTTATAACAGCAATAAGGCTTCATGAGAAATGACGTTCAGAAATAACCTCCACAAACATTTTTGAAAACAAATTAGGTTCACATGCCATTAAGTAGTAAATTTGGTCAGATTCCTCAAAACAGCAATACCACAGACCAAGCCAGGTCACCGATCGTTACAATCATATAACGAAGAGAGAAAAGTCTCCGTTTGTATCCGTAAGCGTAATTTCATACAAAGGTAGACCTGAAATCTAGACAAAATGAAGTATTTTTACACGTACAGACTCTTTGAGGCCTTAGGAAATGTGCTTTTCAAAGCTTGAAGGACAGAAATACTTTTCTCTCTCCTTTCTGTTGCTCCCCACTTCATTCTGGGCTTAAACTCCTCCAAAAACCTGTGGATCCATTTGTTCTCTTGATGTCTTTGAAAAGATTTCTGTGCAGCTGTGACATTGAAAAGAGAGCACCATTTTATTATGAATCCTCTTGGAAAGAAGACAGTCGCCTACAGCTCGCTTCTCTGTCATGAAGCAGAGCAGTGAAAAATTTCACTGGTTTTTGTGTGTGTGTGTCACAAAAGACCAGAGTGAGACAAGTGAGGGGGTGGAAGATGCTCGGTGGTCTGTGCATGTGTCTCCATCTTGACTCTCGGTGGTGTCCAGACCATTTACAGATTTTAACCTTTTAATCAAATGGATGGTGTACACAAGTTGTGTTGACATCGGTGATCAACAAGAGCCCGCAAGTCATATGAAAAGGATCCGGTCAATATAACGCATGGTGATGAATAGGCCAGGTGCTTTGTTCTTACGTAGACGCTGTATACATGTGAAAATGTTGCTGCAACGTTTCTCCAGTAGTCTCTGCTCACACAGTCCCATTTTCGTGCCTGGACTTGTGGACTGTGGTGCGGGCCAAGGGGCTGCTTAAGGAAGGGGCCAGCGTACATAAGAAACCGGCCAGCAGGGTGAGACCCAGTCCGCCCCAGGCACAGAACATGGACCAACCATACCCATGACTGATGTCCTCTGGAAGGCCGTAAAGGTAACGTGGGTAACGGGACAGCTCAAAGTTAATGCCCGCCACACATGTACAAAGGGAGATGATACAGCAGGTTCCTGTCCGAGAGGAAATTACTCAAGATGTATCATCAAACATTCATGAAACACACTCAAATATAGGATGCGAAGAGTTCATGCTTTGGATCTATCAAAGCACCTAAGTGTATTTACATAATGTTGTATGAGAAACCAGCCACTAGATGGCGACATAATTGAGCAGTCAAGTTCCATTCTGTCACTTCTTTCTCTCTCTCTCTCATGCACACAAACATTCTCTGTCTCTTACCGCCCATGAGGAAGAGTAGTCCAGCTACATACTGCATGAGATCATGTTGTTGACAGCATCCAAGAACTCCGATGATCCAGCCAAAAAGAATGATAGAGACAGCCATGCCCACAAAACCTGCTGTCATCCTCCGCAGATCTGCAGCACAAAAAACATTCATCAAGACCCTTTTGTTGCTATTCGGGGCTTTATAAGCATCTAGTGATGACTTATATACTGCATGTTAAATATTTACGTTTTGCTTTAATTTTATTCATCAAGGACCTTTTATAACATTCATTAATTCTATATAGGCCTACTACAAAGGTAATAATGACAGTGACACTAATACAATTGCATCAAGAAAGCAATCAATTCCTATGATGCTATTATTATACCCATAAATTAAATATATATATATATATATATATGAAGAGTTCAGATGCAAAAGCCTCTAAGTGCTATTTGAAATTTTCTTCTAGAATGATCATTTTTATCAAGCTTGTATATTTAAGTTCAGTGATTTCACTTAAATGGCAATGATAATTACCCATTAATTGTCATTTAAGTGAAATTACTAAACTTAAATATACAAGTTTGATAAAAATCATCATTAAAGAAGAAAATTTCAAATGGCATTTAGAGGCTTTTGCATCTGAACTCTTCATATATATATATGATTGATTCGAAACACGAAGACGGAAATAATATAATCCAAGATAAAAAAATCAGTTTTACTGTGCATATTATTTCATATTATTAAATCCTATCTTGAGAAAACTATTCACTCATTTAAAAATAACATTTCTTATTAATATCACAGTTGAAAACAGTTGCTGCTGCTTTTTTTCAGGATTCTTTGATGAATTGGAGGTTGAAATATATATATATATTTTTTAACATTGTGAATGTCTTTACTGTCACTTGATTGGATCCTTGCTGAATAAAAGTATCTATTTAAAAAAATATATTTAAATAAGAGTAGCCTAACATTTTGGTTTAGAGTCAAATTCTCACCATGCACTAGTTATTCTTATGATATTGGCTGTTTATTAGCACATATTATTATTCTGCATGACCATATTCTACATCTCTAAATCCCACCCAATAATACCTAAACTTAACAACTACCCTAACTATTAATTAGGAGTAATTAGGAGTTATTGAGGCAAAAGTTGGATTTAATAGTTAATTAATAATAGTGAGAACAGGACCCTAGTCTAAAGTGTGACCAAAAAAAGGTTAAATCAGTAAATCTAAAAAGGAGGGAAATGTTCACATCAGTGAATATTCTCTATTTGTCAATACAGGCTGGCAAGCAGTATAAAATGTTTGACCTTTTTGGTGAAATAATGAATATTTTTTAGTGCTTTAATGTGTTGTCATTTAAAGAAAACAATATAAGATGTCTTGGAGGATTATCCATACATTGATTCTCCAAACCATTAATCCTCTATAGTGTCACAAAAAAGTATCATATTTTATTAACATATTGCTACACCTGGGGATTAGAGAAGGATCAGTTACAATCCCTTATAAGTAAAAAGTGTGTGCAGTTTCACAAATATTGTCTTTAAACATGCACATCACAGACATAATTGTTTATGAATTAATGAACGGATCAACCCCACCAGGCATGAATTTTGTATGTCTGACACAAGTAAAAAAAAGCATCAGTGAGACTCACGCAGAGCATGCCACTCATCTTGTCGGATGGTCTTGGTGATATTGACGGGAAGGTTTCGAGGCAGGATTGAAGAGGTGTAATGATACTTTACAGGGGTGCATCTCTGAATCAAACCTATTTGAACAAAACAGTGAATCAAGACGTATACTTTTTCATGACATTTACAGCATTTACCGTTTAGGAAAAGCAAATCAGTCCGAGGCTTTAATCTCCTGAGGAACAGCAGGTCTGTTGTGATCATAAAATGCAACAAAGCGGTCCATGCTCATATGACTTTAATTAAAACATTTCCTGGAGAGCAATTAGGCACACATGATCAAATGCACAGGGTCATAAATGTCACAGTTACATATTGATTTTATTTTCATGTAAAATTAGAGAAACAGGCTTTAAAAACAAACCTACTTCATTCAGTTGTACAACTGTAATACTATAAACCCCTCAGGATTTAAGAATACCTGAACTGCAATGACAATCACTGATGTCTATGAAATACAGCCTATGAAAGCAAAACTGCTATTTTTGAAGGGAAGAGTTTTGTTTATGGATAGTCATTACTAAATAGTAGCATGTATTCCATTACAAAAGATTGAGACAAGGACTTGAATGTGTAAAGTGCTGACTGCCTTTCTCCCTGATGAGAAGCTTATGAATCCTGAACAGGCGAGTGTGTGAACCTTTTAGAATAATTAACTTGCACTTTATGAATCCGAAACAGTCATTTTCATTCATAAGGTTTCCTTTGTCTGGACATAAATGAGACTTAATCTGGTAGAAATTCAAATCTTTATCAAATGTAAATCAGATAGCTAACATGAAATGTTGTGACTTTCACAGTTTGCTGTATCGCATCAATACATGTCAGTCCCCACAGGCTACGCAGTGTTTTTCAAGGTACAGTTTGTGTTCTTTTCACCCACATCAGCACTATTTTTAGCATTCCTCAAGCTGATGATTTGGTCTAGGACTGATTTGCATAAATCAGAGGAGGCATTTATGTTCTATTCATAAGTGTTGCACAGTGCGTGGTATTGTTTGGCACTCTTTCAGTTGTTAGACTAGGTGATGGTGATGCAAGATCTGGGGCCTCCTTTACAAAATGTTGCGTAGAAATTATCCTACGTTTGATCTTATGATCATTTCACAAACGTACGTATACGTTGTGATTCAGAGAACGAATGTACGCACACAAAAAAACCCCCTGTGTACGCCTAAATGCACCTAAATGGGAAATTTATCTAAAATGATCTTGAAATTGGGCGCAGCTGAATAGTTTTTCATTCGCATATAAAATAGCACCAGTCAACGACACTCTCTGGCACAAGGAAAAGTGTGTACGTCTGCTTAGACACTCACGTGGCACTAAGACACTCACATGACACATGCTGCACAACTGGTTCACTAGATTCTCAGAGGATTCTCAGTCATCAGAAACATGTTGGGTCAAATGGTGAGATAGACATATTGTGGATTAGACAAAACAAGAGATGAGAGGTGAAGTCAAGGATAGGAGAGGATACCGGTAGTCTTTACTGTTAAATTCATTAATCAAGGTGTTTTCTATGGCACAAAAACACACTGAGTTTGCTGCTATACAGATCTGTGATGGAATGACGAGTACAGACCTCAGGCGTGAGCTGAGCAGATTGTGTCATGTGCATCATATTTATCTGTCAAATATATTGTGACAGCTTGTTCTATGTCACAATCCCAAACTTACACATCAAAGGAACCAGGAATCTCTTTCAAAGACACTTTGCGCATTCTGTTCATTTCTCTGCTGAAGAAAATGCATTCTTGTACTCTGAAAAACATGTCTGTGAAATCTGATGGAAACTCTACAAAGAGACTAATTGGTGAACCAAAGTAAGAAACAAAAATCAAAACCCTGCGCAGATCAGATTTTTAGGATACAATTCAAATTTGCTTAGCAAATTTTATTAGCTTCTTATATGTATTGCTACTGTATTACAGTATTAAGCATGTCACATGATTTTATTCAGTTTTTTAATATTTACATTTGGTGTATTTCGATTTAGTCTGAACTGTTCCAGTTCTCCAAGTATCATTTTCAGTTTGTTGGATTTACAGTGCTCATATATATTTTTAACCATTAGGACAAGTAAACATCTATAGTATATTTTACTGTTAGTATATTTAGAACCAATTATGTTAATTCTGCTCGGGTGAGTATCACTGACAATCAGGAACAATGTTTTGCCTGCTTTATCTGAACACAAAGATTACTGGGCTGACACGGGTTAATGAATAAACTGGAATATAAATCTGGAAGAAATGTTTTCCTGGGTGTTGGCTCAGTCTAACTGGAGTGGTTGCACTTGCACACCATCACTACTTCATCATTCATGACATCTACAGAGCCACTTAGGGTGACCTGGGAAAATCAATGAACAAATTATTGATGAAGATATGGTCAAGTGAGCGGCGTTCCTTCTCTTTGCAACCCAGCAAGAGAAATGGCTGCTGTAAGAGCTCACACTTAATATTTAAGGCCTGAACATAACGTGGAATGAGATCTTTTTTAAAGAAGGTCTCTTATGAGATTACACCGCGTTCCAAATTATTATGCAAATTGGAAATAAGTGTCATAAAAATGTAATATTTAGTTTTATAATCAAACTCATGGATAGTATTGTGTCTCCAAGTTCTTTGGATCACGGAAAAAAATCTCAGACACCTGTGATAAGTAGTTTGCAAGGTGAGCCCAATTAAAGGAAAACTACTTAAGAAGGATGTTCCACATTATTAAGCAGGCCACAGGTTTCAAGCAATATGGGAAAGAAAAAGGATCTCTTTGTTGCGGAAAAGAGTTAAATAGTGCAGTGCCTTGGACAAGGTATGGAAACTTTAGATAGTTCACGAAAATGTAAGCATGATCAATGTACTGTGAAGAGATTTGTGGCTGATTCAGAGTACAGATGGGTTTGTACAGAAAAAGGCATAATGAGGAAGGTTACTGCCAGACAAATGCATCGGATTTAGGAGAGCACTGCTATAATGCCATTACAAAGCAGCAAACAGGTATTTGAAGATGCTGGGGCCTCTGGAGTCCCGCAAACCTCAAGGTGTAGGATTCTCCAGGGCTTGCAGTTGTACATAAACCTACTATTCTGTCACCCCTAACCAATGCTTACAAGCCGAAACGTTGCAGTGGGCCCAGAAATACATGAAGACTAATTTTTAAATAGTCTTGCTTACTGATGAGTGCCGTGCAACCCTGGATGGCGCAGATGGATGGAGTAGTGGATGGTTGGTGGATGGCCACCATTTCCCAATAAGGCTGCGACGTCAGCAAGGAGGAGGCAGAGTCATGTTTTGGGCCGGAATCATGGGGAGAGAGCTGGTAGGTCCCTTTAGCGTCCCTGAAGGTGTGAAAATGCCCTCTGCAATGCATCCAGAGTTTCTGACTTTCTTCTTCTCACTTTCTTCCATGGTACAAAAAGAAGAACCATGCCTTCCGTAGCAAAATTATTGTCATTCATGACAATGCACCATCTCATGCAGCAAAAAATAATTATGTGTTATTGGCTGCTATGGGCAAAAAAGGAGATAAACTCTTGGAGTGGCCCCCACACTGACCTCAACCCTATTGAGAACCTTTGGAGCATCCTCAAGCAAAAGACCTCTGGAAGGCTATTCTGACATCGTGAAAAGATTTTCAAGCAGAAATCTCCATAAACTCCCAACTTCAATGGATACAGGAATTGTGAAGGTCATATCAAAGGAGGGGTCCAAGGTTAACATGTAACTTGCCCTGTTAAGATGAGTTTGATTGAAATAGCTTTTGATTTCATTAAATTTGACCTCCTAATGCTGCAAATTCATCATATTACCATTTTCAGTTCTTTACAACCAATAAAATGTTTTCAAACTCTTTTGTGCATAATAATTTGGAACAGTGCATTTTGAGTTTTTTATTTTTTTCAAAAAATACTGTTTTCGTTGGGTGTTTTGTTCTATGAAATTCAACTTATACCCTAGTGGTTGGTGACTGGAAAATTATACTGACTGTCATTTGCATTGACTATTTAGGAAAATCAGTGTAAAATATCATTTGCATAATAATTTGGAACGCGGTGTAGTATTCATATGATGAGGAAAGTAAAACATGATACATTTGCTTTAAGTTTAATCATCTTATGGATATTGTTATCTGAAAAACTATAGTCTAGGCATTCTTTAACACTGTGATATTAGGGAAGGTAGTTTGTTTTACAAAAGAAATACTTATGTTTACTAGTAGGCTGCTACATTTATATGCCACAGTATATATGAAGAGTTCAGATGCAAAAGCCTCTAAGTGCCATTTGAAATTTTTAAATTTTAAAAAACTGAAACAGGAAGTGCTTCTGGACCAGTGTTGTTTACATCTTTTGAAATGGTCTATATATATATATATATATATATATATATATATATGAAGAGTTCAGATGCAAAAGCCTCTAAATGCCATTTGAAATTTTCTTCTTTAATGATGATTTTTATCAAATTTGTATATTTAAGTTCAGTAATTTCACTTAAATAACAATTAATAGGTAATTATCATTGCCATTTAAGTGAAATTACTGAACTTAAATATACAAGTTTGATAAAAATCATCATTAAAGAAGAAAATTTCAAATGGCATTTAGAGGCTTTTGCATCTGAACTCTTCATATATATATATATATATATATATATATATATATATATATATGACAATATACAGTAAATATTGCCCATATTGCTCTGTTTCTTAAAAAGCCAACCCTGATCATTTAGATTACATAATATTTAGAATAAATAAAGTTTACAACATGATGCTCTAGTGTTGCTTTGGTTTTGTGTATATGATGCAGCATCAGAGTGGTCTTGAACTTTGCTATTATTGTTATCCCAGAATACATATTAGTCAGACAAGAATAGAAGAAGAAAAGAAATAGAAATCTATGGTTTAGGTAGTTTGGCATAATCCCTTTATTTAAATAGTTTTGTTATAAAATATTATTAATAGGCATTTACAAAAAAAAACCAAAAAAAAAAAAACATTTCTGTCTGTCAAATCAGCGTGTAGCAATAAAACAGGTTTCAATGTGACGTTTTCTACTCTAGGTTATCAAAGAAATGATCCTATATCACCTCATACATCCTTATCACAGATCCTCATCATCTATTTTAATAAGTTTAATTTCCTTTTTTAAATAATCATTTAAATTTTTTCTATATTCGCAATTTAAAATGTACAATTGTAATTGCTATTATAAATACACGTATGCTCTGTGCAACATTATGCAAGTGCACCTTTTGGCGGTCTCTATAGCAGTTTCTGTTCAGCCTTTACAGATGTGTAGGCTGAATTCAGCACCTCGGATAGCGACAGGGATCAGATTCAGGCCTTCCACATTTCCCCTTCACTGTTGACATCGCTTTACAACTACACTTAATAAAGGAAGTGTCACTAAGCGAAGGCTAATACGTAGGTCCAGAGACAACAGGGAGAACCAGCCTATCCGAATGGCACTGATAACATTCACACATCCTGGACCGAGGTTCTAGTGCTTGACAAAGGCAAAACAGAAAGCAACTCACCTTTGTAAATGAGATCCTCGGTCTCCAGGTCAAAGCCCTCTCGATGACACTTTCTCCACAGACCGGAGATCGTGGAGTTGAACTGGCGGCTGCAGTGAGACTCCATGGCTGTCGCCGATGCCGGAGCGTGCCGCTTAACGCGCGCCTCCATCGCTTTCCTCTCATAACCCTTTGGAGGCATCTGGAGTGGCAGGTTGTGATTTGAGATGTAAATGTATCCGGGATCGTTCCGCTTGTTTGCGTAGTTCTTACAGCGTTCGCGGTGCCGCCGAGCATCCGTCTCGTACCAATAATCGGTGCAGATGGCCATAGCCAACAAGACCAGAGCTGAAAACGCCAAGAAAAGCCCCGCGCTGGTTAAAATCTTAATGGCGGCCATCTTCTCTGCTCGTTGGAGAGCCCAGACAGACGCTCGGTCCTCCCTCGGCAGCCGTTGTGAAAGCCAAAGCAAGAAAACACACCGAATCTCTAGCAGCTCTCGGACGCTGACATGACCAGGCTCGATTCCAGCTCGATGCGATCTATTGCTGCAGAGCGCCCGGCCAGATGTGCTGGGTTTTCACCATCTATTTTGATTTGGAGTTAAGGAAAGGGGGAGAGATGGGAAGAGGATTGAGGCGATGCGAGAACCAGGACTGAGTGAGTTTGGTTTGAGTGCAATGCTCTCTCTTTCCTCTTGGGCCTCAGCGAACTGAGTGAGAAGAGAATTAGGTGCACCGGGAACATGAGGAATAGTGATAAACATGAGAGGGTCATTTATTAATTACAAACTCCAGCACAGCATTACAGATGTAAACAGCTGTTCAAATATTTATTCAAGACTGTACTGTATCCTTTTTTTTTATCTCTCTTGCTCTCCTTGATGTTTACTAGTAATTAATATAGGGCCTATATACAGCAATGTTTTTGTGTTTTAAACACATTATTATAGCAAATATGGGGACAGGCCAGAAAGTTATTTTTTTTAACTTAAATATATATATATATATATAACTACTACTTTACACATACAGGACTTGGAGTGGCAGGCAATTCAAGCCATTTGTGAGCATGACATCCCACATAGAAAAATGCATACATATACATATATACATATACATATATACATATACATATATACATATACATATATACATATACATATATACATATACATATATACATATACATATATGCATATACATATATGCATATACATATATGCATATACATATATACATATACATATATACATATACATATATACATATACATATATACATATACATATATACATATACACATATACATATATACATATATACATATACATATATACATATACATATATACATATACATATATACATATACATATATACATATACATATATACATATACATATATACATATACATATATACATATACATATATACATATACATATATACATATACATATATACATATATACATATATACATATATACATGTATACATGTATACATATACATATATACATATATACATATACATATACATGTATATGTATATATGAAGAGTTCAGATGCAAAAGCCTCTAAATGCCATTTGAAATTTTCCTCTTTAATGATGATTTTTATCAAACTTGTATATTTAAGTTCAGTGATTTCACTTAAATGGCAATGATAATTACCTATTAATTGTTATTTAAGTGAAATTACTTAACTTAAATATACAAGTTTGATAAAAATCATCATTAAAGAAGAAAATTTCAAATGGCATTTAGAGGCTTTTGCATCTGAACTCTTCATATATATATATATATATATATATATATATGTATATGTATATATATATATATATATATATATGTATATATATATATATATATATGTGTATGTATATACATATACATACATATATATATTTGCATCTGAACTATGAAGAGTTCAGATGCAAAAAAGTGCCATTTGAAATTTTCTTCTAAAATGATCATTTTTATCAAGCTTGTATATTTAAGTTCAGTAATTTCACTTAAATGGCAATGAATATTACCTATTAATTGTCATTTAAGTGAAATTACTGAACTTAAATATACAAGACCATATACAATATACCATTCTAGAAGAAAATTTCAAATGGCATTTAGAGGCATTTGCATCTGAACTCTTCATATATATATTTATATAATTATTTTTTTTTTTTACAGATTATTGAAAGACACAATTTCCCTTCTCAGAGTTAAATATTACCAAACTGGCTACAGAAAATCCTTATTTGAATTTGCTGGAATAAATTGAAATATTAGCACATTGAGAGAGTAAACAAACAGGAACAGAAAACTGCTCTAGGGAAACTCTCAGAATGTAGCATTGTGTCTTGCCCACGTACAGTAGACGTTGTCTTCGGAAACATTCCCAGCAGCAGTTAAAAAAAAAAAAAAACATTTACCTTTACTTTTACCCATATAATGAGAACTGAGAAAGTATTTGTGTTATTGTGCTAAAACACATATTTAGCCTGAACTATCAAATATGATGCACAATTGGCCTTACACATCACGTACAGTCAAGGGTGAAATGTTTTACATCGGTCCTTTCAAGACTTTTTTTCTCCCCCGTTATTTCAGCATTATTTAACTTACTTTCTATTCTCTTTCTCCCAATTTTCAACATGATCAGGTGTACTCAAATCTTTTATTAATATACTTGGTGTGAACTGTAGCAGCACTAACTTGCCACCTGTCATCCATGGAGGCGGCCCACAGAGAGGAGCTTCAGAAGCGTGGGAGGTTCAGGTCAAGATACAGGAGAATAAATCATGTTAGTACAAGCAGCCACATTTAGGTGTCCATCAGAAGCCGTTTTGAAGGACAAGGCATAAAGGCTTGCGAAAAAAATAAATTAAATAAAGTGGCACCTCATTGTCCAAAGTTCCAGGCAGTTTCCCACACACTGGGCTCTGTCAGGGCAGATGACAAAGGAAGACAACCCACAGGCTAGTCGTTATGGCAACAGTCCCTTGCCAAACAGACTGTGTTGAAATAGGACAAGTGTGAACACAAAATCAATACCACCCCCTGATTCCCATATGACATTTCAGACCCAGACTGTGCAGAAAAATGTGCTTGTGGCACGCATCTTGGCATAGCCGACACCATTGCAGAACTACTACTTTACACATACAGGACTTGGAGTGGCAGGCAATTCAAGCCATTTGTGAGTATGACATCCCACATAGAAAAATGCAAAGACCTTGCAGAGACAAAATAGACTCCAAAGATGTGCAAATAAACTCCACACAGTTGCCAAGCCAAACTGCATCAGCATAGAACAGTAGAGAAAAGTCAAAGCTCATGGATGTGTATAGCTTGCTAATGGGGAGCCATCTTTTAAGAGTCATTAAGCATAATAGTTCCTCCACGTAGGCATAACAGCCAAGGGATAGCTGGCAATTCAGCAGGTCATGAGAAACCCATGCGTCCTTATGATTAAATGCATCTTCCGGAACATGCATATTCATTCTGAAAAGTCATTCTGATATGCAAGCCAGAACTGCTAAATATCATTTAGGATCCATCAACGCTAATACAATAGAAAAGACCCGTTTTGATGCACTCAACATACATCAATTCAATTGGTGGATATTTACCACAGACAGTTGTAACGACTGATACAAATCAGACAAGTATTTGTTATAGAAAAACAAACATTATTTTAACTCACTCAGGGATCTGTGGTCCCATCCCCCCAATACGATCAGATAAGTTGGTTTCATTGCAGTTAAAATTGTGACAATGTGTTCGCAATTTAGAAAAAATTTCTTAAACGGAAATGTTTCTTTTTTGGTGACCTATCCCTTTAATTGACAATAACATTTGTAGTGCTTCTATTCATTTTCGATGAATATGAGAAATTGGAAATTTTAATCATCCATTTTTAAGTTTTAAACTGAACAGACATTCGGTTAGAAGGTTAGCAAATGAAGGTTAGACAGTGCTGAATTGCAGTGGTGATTCTCCAAGTGAAATCTGCACAGTTCAATCGTTAAAAAAGCCACAACAACAGGTTTAAATCAAACAGTAACATATCTTTATTTCAGCTACACAATGGGAGGACTCAAGTCTTAAAAGTTATACATTTTTCTTTCAACATGACATTGTTAATAGAATAAATATATATAATCTCTTTTCAAATATTTACATTTTGGCAAAGACCGTACTGACCTGCCAAGTGATGCGTTCAGAACATTCTTTCAGTAACATTCCATGTACAAAACTGGCAATCCATTTATCAACTATTTTATTATCTTCTTCAAAATTTGATCGAAATGTATGAAATGGCACCAAGTCATTAGAGTAAAAGAACTGTCTGCTTATGAATCTGTCAATCCCCTAGACTAAATCACTCGAAATTCTGAATCGCTTTGCCAGGACCACAAAGAAACAGAAAATCAGAGAATTAAAATGAAAAATGCAGCAATGTAGTGGCTATCAGAATATAATCAATAACAAGAGTATACAGTAAGAAAATAAGGCCTGTTGAGTATTTTTAAAAGTGTTTGACAGGAGTGTCTTCAGTCATGTATGTGCAAGAGGAATATGTACTCATGCAAAGCGTGGATGTCTTGAGCAAATGTAGAGTGAAATGAGCTTTTTTTTAAAAAAAAGCAATGATGATGACCATCAACAATCTGATTATGTAGGTGTATGCCTATACACTGTTTCTTAATAAAGAATGTGTTTACACACTGCACACATGCAATTTCACAACAGGTCAGGCAAATCCCAGTGATGAAACCTACTGACAAAGGAAAGTAACAGGTTCATCTTACTGAGCATTGACACCAGGCTGGAACATGATTATGAACAAGAATGCCAAATAGGAGCAGCTTAGATGGCGTATTTGAACCAAAACAACTACTGATATTTCTGAGCACCGTTTGCACAAACCTGTATTTCCCTTCAGTTTCAGCTGGTGCCTATAAAGCATCATGAGTTAAGTCTGAATTTAATCTGGACACAGACGGTTCCCGGTGTTTGAAGGATATGTGTAAAATCTCACCTGATTGTCAAGGCTGTTTCTTTATTTGGTCTTTCCTCACACAGTCTTTGGGGTGACAAAAAATGTCTAAATTATTTAAAGCTGAAACACTGAAGTGAATAGTCCATCATCAGTCAATGCTAGGCGACACTAAACGTCAAAGCAGTGCTCGCCTGTGGCTAGTCCATGACGACTGAGAGAAGAGCCATGACTGCAATCCCACAAAATAACAGCAGAACCTGCAGAAAGGAGTTCCTGTGGCAACAGGGGACATGGTCATGGACATTCAGTCATTTAATATGTGAAGTATGAGGAATTTTACACGTGGGAGGTTAAAAAAAAATGGTGGAAGTGGACCTTACCTAGGGTTGGTCTCCTCCAGCAGATCAGGTACCACATTGACCAAGGCAATGTAGATAAAGCCACCTGAGCTGAAGGGCAGGATCCAGGCAGTGGCATTCTCTATAAAGACACAAATGAGCAGAATCAACACCTGAACAATATGTTTGATAAAGATCTTATATTATTAAGCACACTGATCCACATTTAAAGTTCAGAATGGCATGATCAAATGTTTATTTTGTGGGGAAACCCAAACAAAGACAATGATTTATTTATTAAGCATCAGTAGCTGCTAGAAATCATGTTAGGAATGGGAACAAACACCGACATCAGAAGAAAGATGATCCACTCAAGATCAAAGATACGCTACCATCCAAAAGTTTGGGGTAGGCAAGATTTTGAGAAGATGTTACCAAAAAAACCCCCAAAAGGACAAAAGACTCTAATTGACCCCAAACTTTTGAATGGTATTGCATTTAATGTATAGTCTGGGACTACGAGATGTCTCACCTGCCCCATGCTGTGATTGGGAGCAAAGAGCAAAACACGCCCCCAGGACTCCTCCTAATGCTGTAGAGAGCTGCATACGGGTGGCTTTCCAACGGTCAAAGCCTGCTCGCAGCAAAATGGCAAAATCGCCCACCTTTCCATCAAGACAGAAATGCATGTACAGCAACAGAAACTGGTAAGTACTGAGACAATTCATGTACAGTAACAGTTTGAATGATGAATGAGCAATGAGTATATAGTATTATCATTTAGCTAAAAATGAAATTCATTGCTTCCTTATAATAAATACTGGGCTGAAACTCAAGAGACTCAGAGATATTGAGATACGTACCTCATGAGGGATCTCATGAAGCAAAATAGCGAACGTTGTTAAGAAACCAACCTGTAAGGACAGGTAAAGTAAGACATTGTAAAGTTCTTAGAATAAAAAAAAACATTTTGTAAGCTAACCCCTTGTTTTCTAATAGACTAATGTCAGGGCAGTGAAGCCATATATGTTTCGTAATTTGGCACATATGTTTAACTGACATTTCAACAGAAGCTATGGGGGAGGTAGAGAAAACCATAAAATGGCACAGTTCTCCATCAGTACTCTGCCTTGCATTTATGCAGCCAAATATGTATGTCCAGGCCACTGAGCAAACATGTAAAATTGTGTTTTTATGTGCAAGTATGTTGCACCAAGTCCATTTCCTCTGAAACTCCCTCCCCACGCATGCTGGGAGCCTTATGCTTCTCCACCTGGACTTCAACTTCACATAAGCCATATAAATACTGCTGCACTATAAATATTACCACACATCACAAACATCTTCCTCACGGTTTGGAATGGTGCAAAAGAATCATGGGAGAAACTTCTTAAATGCTTTAAAATAGAAGTTTTAAAATGCTTAAAAGTAGCATACTATATTTACACAGTAACTGAATCTACAGAATTTATATAACATTCATCCTTGCCAAATCACTTTTATACGGAATTGGTCTGTTTGCTCTTACCTTTCGGCTTACTAAGAAGCTTCCTGCCACTGCCAGCCCATGAGTGAAGTTATCAATGCAGTTAGCAAGAAGGTTTAGATAACCACTTGTCTGAGAAATAAAGAAACATTGCATATACAGTAAATGGAAGATAAATATAATAGATGACACTTTTCAAATTCTGCATGATTGGTTAGAAGGAAACTTTTAGATTTAGATGTACTTGTCCCTAATAATCTAATGGCATCTTAGACCTATTATTGCGCACAAGGCATGATTAGGGTGTGTATCTTACCTTTATTTTCTCTGGCTCTGTGTAAGGGCTGATGTCAGTCTTTGGCTTGGAGTCGGAGTTGTTGTTTGAGCAGATGCCATTTGTTTGTGGTGACACAGAGACCTTGGTGCTTGTATCTGTTGAAGAGGACTAATAAGGGGAGAAAAAACACCACAATAAGCCATTCTAATCTGGGATCATTTCTCAGCATTCAAGAGCAAAAAGACTATTTCCCCACCTTCAAATAAACCTGGGATCAATACTTACACTCGGCTAAAAGATTATTAGGAACACCATACTAGTACTGTGTTTGACCCTCTTTCACCTTCAGAACTGCCTTAATTCTATGTGGCATTGATTTAACAAGGTGCTGAAAGCATTCTTTAGAAATGTTGGCCCATATTGATAGGATAGCATCTTGCAGTTGATGGAGATTTGTGGGATGCACATCCAGGGCACGAAGCTCCCATTCCACCACATCCCAAAGATGCTCTATTGGGTTGAGAAGATCTGGTGACTGTGGGGGCCATTTTACTACAGTGAACTTATTGTCATGTTCAAGAAACCAATTTGAAATGGTTCAAGCTTTGTGACATGGTGCATTATCATGCTGAAAGTAGCCATCAGAGTATGGGTACATGGTGGCCATAAAGGGGTGAGATGGTCAGAAACAATGCTCAGGTAGGCTGTGGCATTTAAACAAAGCCCAATTGTCCCTGAGGGGCCTAAAGTGTGCCAAGAAAACATCCCCCACACCATTACCAGCCCGTTCTCATCCTTTAGCGTCACATAGGCCATGTCCACACTAATACGTTTTCGTTTGAAAACGTATATTTTTCTCTCCGTTTTGGCCTTCCGTCCACACTGAGACGGCGTTTTAAGTCAACAAAAACGTATCGTTTGGAAAACGCTCTCCAAAGTGGATAAATTTGAAAACGCCGTTTTCGCGTTGTAGTATGAACAGTGAAACCATCCGGAGGTTCTAAAAATCTAAAAAAAAATCTAAGTATTTCTATATTTTCACATCAGTTTTTTGAGACAGTACTTGGCTGGCTGGCAAAAGCTGACTGTGAGAAAAGAACCAGTCTCTACAGCAACAACGAGCCTTTCAGAATGAAATAACAGAACTTGACGCTTCCTCCCTGTTCTCAGCTGTGGTTTCTGTGCACCGTGGCAGACTTCTGTGGCCCGTCTGTCTGATGATGGAATGCTGGTGGCAGCTGCTTCCTGTTAGACACTATTTAAAGCTACCTAAACAGAGCAGAGGCTATCAATCAAACTCACAGGTCTCCCATAAGCTAGACAGAAGACTCAGACGTAGATATTTATAAACACATAAAAGTCATAATACAAGTCAAAATAAAAGTTATAATTAAGGGCAGGCAGAGAGCAGGTGGAAAATGGACATCTACATTACAGGCACTGCAAGCTCCTGTTTTGTAAGATTTGAGTGACCAAGGCACCCAAGACCCCCTCTAAAAAAAAGTGAGAGTTAATCCATCCAAACACATTTCTTTTGTTGTACATTCAGTGCACAAAGCGTCAATGGTGCAGCCCGGACACCAAACCAAAATCCGCAAAATTAAAAAGAGGGACCAGACAAAAAGAAAGAAACATGGAGGTGGAAATATGACCATCACTTTCCTTTAAAATGGATGTTTATTTATAGACAAGCAAGCCATGTCATGTCTACACTTGAAAGTAAGCAGAACAAATATTTTATTAATTTGTCTAAGGAAGCATCTAAGACCCCGTTTACCTGATTTACAGATCTCATTCCCCATTGACTACCATAGTAGGAAAAATACATACTATGGTAGTCAATGGGGAATGAGATCTGTTTGATTAAAACATTCTTCCAAATATCTTCCTTTTTGTACAACATAACAAATAAACACATATAGGTTTTCGAACAACATGAGGGTGAGTAAATACTGACAGAATTTTAATTTTTGGGTGAACTAACCCTTTAAGTAAGAGGGAGCAGTGCCAGTGGCTGTTCTGTAGACAAACATCAGTGAAATGAATTTAATGCAAGCAGCAACTGTCAACCAGTGCAATTTTGTAAGTAGAGGAGTGACGTGTGCTCTCTTCAGCTCATTAAAGACTACTCTGGCTGCAGCAATCTGGATCAGTTGTAGAGGTTTGACAGAGCAAGCTGGAAAAACCAGTCAGGAGAGCATTACAATAGTCCAGTCTGGATAGAACAAGCGCTCGGACAAGGATTTGTGTAGCATGCTCTGTTCTTCCTAATGTTGTGCAAGGCAAATTTGCAAGATCGGGCAGTTCTAGCAATGTGGTCTGTAAAGTTTAATTGATCATCAATTGGACACAAACAGTGATTCATGATTCAAGACTCCACAACATTCATGTAGCATCAATTATTCAGTCAGGACTATTCCTTTCCCAAGTGTGCTCACCAAAACATTTTCATCATTAAAATAACACATTTAAACATTAATTATTTATATAGAACAGGCAAAAGCTAATGGCAGTTGCCATCAAGAGCAGAAATGAACCAGAGAGAAGCTCAGACTAAGGTTTGCCCAAACATTCAAAGTCTGTCAAACTTTTCCCATAGACTCAAAGATAAAACCATTATGTTCTAACACAATATTTATAACACTTGGGACATTAACAAAACAGGAAGTAAGCCACCGACACAAACTATTTCTCCTTTTTAGCCAGTCCTTAAAAGGAAAATGTGCCAGTATACATTTTTTTAACAGTTGTACTTGTGACTTTTGCAGATAAATAAGGGGAAAAAATAGAATTAACAGAATTATAAATATTCCAACTGCATTCTGAAGTTGACTACATGATGCTTGGTGGAGTTTGAGTGGATGCAAAATAAATGTCTGCGATTCTGTTGAGTGCGTAACTCCACAATCGTTCTTTTGGCTCCCCCATGAGGTTCAGAATTGCAATGTTCCACTTCATCAATTCAAATGATTCAAAGTGCTGAAATATTTAGTGTATAAACTATGGCCGTATAACATGCATGGAACTACATTATAGGTTGTTAAATAGTTAAAAATGGCAGGTGAGGAAATAAAGTGACAGGGCAAAAGCACATGTAACTTACTTTGGCTTTTTGGCAGGCAGCTCTGCTCTCTGGGTCACTGTCTTCATCAGGGAACATCTTCTCCAAGATCAGAAAAGATAGCAAACCCCCTATCACCCACAAACCCTGCGTACGATAGTGTCTGTGGGACCCATCTATCCAGCAAATGCACACAAAAAGGGGAAAGAAAGAGATTTTCAATTTCTATATAAATCTAAGAGGAATGAAAAATTCAACTTCACTGAGCTTCATATATTAACTAAAACTATTAAAAAGCATTTAAGTAATTGAAAAAATAAATAAACAGATCTTAAGTTAATACATTACTAAAGTAGCAACATTACAGCAAAAATGAAATAAATAAATATAAAAATATATTAAATCTAACATATATATAACATTTTATATAAAATGTAAAAAAACAATCATTTAAAAAAAAATAACTGAAAATATAAAAGCAAATAATTCAACATATTAATATTATTCTATAAAAGTATACTGTGAACACTAAAAAACAACAACAAAGCAAATCAATGGCTCTGGCATAAAAACTGTAGGCTACTGTATAGGGACCAATCCTGCCTGCCTTTATTCAAAATATTTGACAAGCTTTTGGTCTTATTGATTTATTGATTATTCATATCTAGTTTATTGAAGTTCTGTGTGTTTCTATTTCTAATGTTGATGGAAGCTGTGAATTGTGTGAGCCTTGAATCCCCAAAATAAAGACATAAGGGCACTAACACTTCAAAGTAAATGTTACTTAGTGCCATTTTTCCATATCGATCCAAGTACCATAGTTAATATAAGAGACCGAGCCAGAGTTACCAAGGGGACGGGTTTAGTTAAGGGTCAATTACTGGACTAGACTATTGATTGTAAAATGTTAAAAATGCAGAGTTCCCTGAGAGATTCACATTCCAAAGACTGAAAGAGAAAGAGCACACAGAGGATGATTAATTCATGAACAGAAAATGTTATAAATAATGTGAGATTTCTCACCAGGACTGGAAGTGTAAGCCCATGCTTCAGGAAGGAGGTGGAGAAACACGTCGCCTAGGAGACCACCAATGGCAAAACTCAGCAGCTTCTTCAGCTTCTGACACCCAGCTGCAATCACAGAAAAAGCATCAGCGCCACTTCATAAACATGACAAGAAATGCTTGATGCGCATCTTGCTGTGTTAAACAAACTGAACAAGTCCTTCACACACAGCATATGGCAGACGAAGAAACCTCTAAATGGTTGCACAATCATTCTACAAACTCTTACATATATTTAACAATTATTTTGTTTTTCAGCTTAGGTTTTGAAGCTGCAAAGCTGTAATAAGCTAGTTTTGCAACCCTAAAGTGTGGGAATATAATAGGCCTAAAATACAGTGTCTCACAAAAACCCCTCACATTTCAGAAAACATTTTAGTATATCTTCTCAAGGGACAATACTGTATGGTAATGAAACTTGGAAAGATTTTAGAGTAGTCAATGTGCTGCTTGCAGCATTATACACTTATTGTCCTCTGAAAATAACCCAACATACATGCTGCAGAGACTGTACTTTATGCAGAGACTGAGACAGTTTAGAGTGGACAGAGATATGATGTTACTTTTTTGTCACTCATCTGTGGAGAGCATGCTACTTTTCTGTTGCGTTGCATGGTATTTCTCTTTGTCAGTGACCAACAAAAATAGATTGAGCGAGATAGTTAACCTGGCCAGTAAGGTTGCGGGGCATAAACTAGACAGTATGGCTATTACCTGTGAAAGAAGAGTGTTGAAGAAAGGTATAGCTATTAACAAAGATATGTCACATCCCTTACACCGGGCATATGAGGTGTTGCCATCAGGGAGAAGGTTTAGGTTACCTTATTTCCAGACAAATCGAGCCAGTAAATCATTTATTCCAACTAGCATCACTTTGATGAACAAGAAGTTACCTGTAGGACTGCACTTTACATAGCACTATTTAGCACTTTAAATAGCACTTTAATTAGGTTTCTTTGAGTCTTTTGTCCTGATATGTGTAGGGGTGTGGTGGGGATGAGGGAGGGGGGTGGGGGAATGTTGTATTCTGTCATGTAAAATTGTCTTTGTATATATGTATCAGGCGTACTGTAGGTGCAGAACAATTTTCCGTGAGGATAAATAAACTTAATCTATCTAATCTAATCTATTATTGTCAAAATAGCTGGCAACAAAAGTGAGTTCGCCTTAAGTGACGTTGTCAAAACTGTGTCCAAAGTGTCAATATTTTGTTTTAGTATTGTTATCTAGCCCTGCCTTTATCCTCCTGGGCATGGAGCTCACCAGAGCTGCACAGGTTGTTGCTGGGACCCTCTTCCACTCCTCCATAATGACATCGTAGAGCAGCTGGATGTTAGAGACATGGTGCTTCACCGTCCGTTTCAGGACGCCCCACAGGTGCTCAATAGGGTTCAGGTCTGGAGACATACTTGGCCACTTCATTACCTTCCGCTTCCTCAGCAAGGCATTTGTCATCTTGGCGGTGTGTTTGGGGATGTTATGCTGTTCAGCCCAGTCACTGAAGGGAGGGCATTATGTTCTTCTTCAGAATGATGCAGTACATGTTGGAATCCATGTTTTCCTCAATAAAGGTTTTCCTCACAGCTCCCTAGTACCAGCAGCACTAATGCAGCCCCAGACCAGGATGCTACCACCACCATGCTTGACTGTAGGCACGACAGAATTTTCCATACATGCCGGACAACATCTGAGCCAAACAAGTTCACCCAAGTCTGCGTTTACACTTGGCATTAATTGCCAATCGGATTTCTGTTTCCTGCATAATATTTAAATTAGGTCTGTGGCATGACAGCAGATAAGAGTAAAGATGATACCAATTAAACAATGTCCCAATTGCTTTCACTCACTCACTTTACTTTCCTGTACAATCTCCAGTCTTATCTCCAGTGTGTATAATTAATTTGTATATATAAATACCCACACATGCATGTATATATTTAAGAAAAATGTGTTATTAATATATCAAATATTTATATTTATATATAATATTAATTGTGAATAAATACATCTAAAATATATACATGCACATATTTCTTAAATATATACATGCATGTGTGGGTATTTATATATACAAATTAATTATACACACTACACACACACATATATTATGTTAACACAAACTTTTATTTTGGATGCGATTAATCGTTACCCATCCCTAATCAGAAGTGCGTTTACACTAGTCTTTTCAACGTGTATGTGGACAACGTCCAGATACAGGTCCAAATCAGAGTGATACAGATACAGTGATACTCTGGATACAGTCGCACGTTGATGCCAAGTGTAAACGCAGCCATAGTCTCATCAGACCACAGGACATGGTTCCAGTAATTCATGCTCTTGCAGTGCGTGTGGCGTATGGTCCGAGCACTGACAAGCTGACCTTCCGCTTCTGCAACCTCTAAAGCAATGCTGGCAGCACTCATGTGCCTGTTATTTGAAGCCAGCTTCTGCAGCTGACGAGGACTCAACTTCTTTGAATGACCCTTGCGAGGCCTGTTCCAACTGGAACCTGTCTTGGAAAATCTCTGTATGACCAAAGCCTGTACTGTAACTCAGTTTCAGGATGTTAGCAATCCTCTTATAGCGCAAGTCAACATTGTGGAGACCAACAATTCTAATTCGCGAATCGTTAGAGTTCTTTGCCATGAGGTGCCATGATGAACATCCAGTGGTCAGTATGAGAGAATCGCACTCAAGCACAAATTTGAACTGCTCTAATACAAGATACACAAATTTGTGTGGTCCTGTCAAGCAGACAAAGACATGAAAATGATGAATAGGACATTAAACGACGTACAGCTATTATCACTTAGTGTGTACTCACTTTTGTTGCCAGCTTTTTTGACAATAATGACAGTATTAAATATATACTGCTATACAAGCAGCACATTGACCACTTTAAAATATATCTAAGTTTCATTTCTATAACATTGTCCCTTTTAGCAGATATACTAAAATGTTTGCTGAAATGTGAGGGGTGTAGTCACTTTTGTGAGATACTCTATCTAATGCCATTCTTCACCACAGCTTTGAGAATCATGTGGTGAGTCTCCGTGGTAAAGTAACAGGACACACCTAAATTGCTTAGAATTCCACCTAACCCTGCCCACTGCACCCTAGACTGATAGGTCAGAACAGACCTTCTCTTAAGCCGGTCTACTTCCTGAGTGGGATCCACTGCCAGACTCTGTTTCTGCATGACTGATACCATCACAGACAAAAGTTTCACTGCAGCATTGCCCTCTGCAAAGGCCTTTAGAGACCAACCTGTTCACCATATAATGTTACTGTGCATTTCCTATTATGGTTCTGTTGGCTCTTCTCTTGAACGTCCACTACATTCAAGAGAATTATTAAATCAAGATTTATTTGGACAAGCCATGACAGGTGTAGCTGAAGATGTGATTGCACAACAAATTCTTTTCAAGGTCAAGCATACTCACACATTTTTCTCAGTGTTGGTTGGATATTCTCCCTGCAAGATTTATATACAGTATCATATAATGAATACAGTGGCAAATTCTGACTTTTGGTCCCATAATCAAGAGATATAAGCTCACAATTGCAAGAAAAAAAGTCAGAATTGTGTGGTATAAAAGTCACAATTGTGAGGTATAAAGTCAGAATTGTCAGATATAAACGTATTGTTCCCCCTCAGAATTGGACTTTATCGTAACTCGCAATTGCAAATTTATATCTTACAATTCTGAGAAAAGTGAGAATTGCAAGATGTAAACTAGCAACTGTGAGATAAAAAGAAATCGCTTTTAAAATGGTTTATTCTGTGTTTGAAACAAGCTTCCATGGGTAAGCCAGCTATTATTAATATTTCAAACTATGAAATATTTTAGCTTTACTTAGACATCGTAAGCTAACTAACAGTTGGAACTGTAGAATGAACCTGTATTGTTTCAAATAAACTGAAACAAATTACAAAAAATACAAAAGCACACAAACAAAAACGAAATTTAAATAAACACTTATTTTTACAGATTAACTTCAAGATTGGACTTGAAACCATATTAGTTTCCTTTAAAACATTTTTTTTATATCATAAATGGGGCTCATTTAGTGGCTGGGAAATTACTTTAACATGGTACGAAAAGCAAAAGACTGTGGAACCGGTCAAAAGCAGCAAAGGGAAAAAATCCCACAGAGAACATGATCTTGAATTAAAAGGAGGAAGTGCCTCAAAAGTTTGCCTTATATTAACCAGACAACTGTGTGAGACCTGCATCAATCCACACACCGATTCTCTCTTGCTTGTATTAATAACAAACACATGCCCGTTTGTCACACTAGCCCTGATGTGTGACCAGAATCATTTCATTTTTTCCATTCTGCTCACAAATTATAAATGACCTGCCCAGGGCAAGAAAAGAAAACCATTTCAACCTAAAGGAAGAAACAAAGAAAAGCCACAAAAAATACAGATCCCTGTTCATTAGTCAGCACCGGGACACAGCTGCGAATATCTGGATCAGCCCTGACTGTAACACAATTAGGGCTGAACGATTAATTGCATTTGCGATAAAATCGCGATATGATAAAACGCGATTTTGTAATCGCAGGAGCTGCGATTATACTGGTCACGTGACACGCGAGAGAAAAGCAGTCTGCAAGATAAAGCATCAACTTGCCACGCTACGCGATCTGGCGTTCAGAAAAGAACAGTTTATTGTGTTATTTATTCTCTCCTCTCCTCAACAATCCTGGATCGATTCAGAGAATTTCAGAATCGAGTCTGAGCTTAGTTTTTAAACACAGATGCGTGATGACGCTGCGCGTGCTTTAGAAACGAACCGTGTTCTGAATCTGCTTGCTTCTATTTTCTCGCTCTCTCTCTTCCTCACTCACTCACACACATGACACCGCTCGAACCTTCCAAAACATAGTAACGTTATTTCATAAAGTTCGGGATTGAACCGAATTACAAGGACATTCGCGGGCTTCATTGAACAGTTTTTGCCGCTTTGCTTGATGTTATAACGTTACACTTGCAGTGCGCGCTCTTTCCCGCGGGAATTTTCTTTACAAATGCTTCAGTTCACAGAGGCATTATTTATGTCTTTTGGAATGCAGTTGGCTTATTTATTAAAACCATGAAAATCACTGAGAAGGCTGCTTTCATTTTAAAATACTAACGCGTGCTTTGTGAAGAGCGCTCGTGCATGCGGCCGTGAGCGACTCATTGGTAAATGTACTTGCATGTCAAAATGCTTTTATGACGCGAAATTAATGTAAACACGGTCAGTTATATCTTAAACCAACAGGACAAACCACATTTACAATTTCAAAAGAGATATATGCATTAGTGTGAATGCAGCTTATCGTATCTAAACTGAGGGGAAATCACTCCAGCTCTTGAATGAAAAACATTCAGACAGCCTACTTTTAAATACTGAGACCACTCTTTCTTTATTGCTTGTAATGTTTCTTTTTTGTTATTTCTCTTTATTTACTAGCTTTTATATTTTGAAGCTATATTATTTTATATAGCCTATTTAAAATTCTTAACATGTAATTGCTTTAATTAAATGTTTTTTTATATTTATTTTTTAAAGTATGTGTTTTTACACATGCAATTAAATACATATTTTAAGAGTTATTAAGATTAATTAATAAGAAAAAAAGTAGATCGAATCATGAGCTATCTAAAGATTCCCATCTATACTATACAATTATTTATTGCTTGTCTTTGTCGACTAATACAGAAGGTAAATAACTTTTTTTTTAAATCGCATATTAAATCGCAATCGCAATATTGGCTAAAAAAATCGCAATTAGATTATTTTCCAAAATCGTTCAGCCCTAAACACAATCAACCTGACCTGGTTAGTATGCAACCTGATTCTAGATTAGTTGCTACAATGAGCTGGTTACAATACATTCACAGGCCTAGATCACAAATAAAATCCACGCATATGTGACTTACCCTCAGTTTTTAAAGTTGTTCCAGCTTCAATGGGTATCACTAAAAGTGGAAAGATACCACTGAGTCCAATGGCAATCGATCCCAAGATGGAGCAGAACCAAACATCTAGGTTGTCGACGGAGAACAGCTCATCCAGGTACTGGAGGTCTAGAAGGTCCTTAATGCTCCAAGGTAATGGTCCTGGTCCTGCAGCTGCAGTCTTTGCCTGGGCCACAGCGGTCTGAGCCATCATCTTACCGCCTAAGGATGACGCCAGGAGGGCGGCGCCAAGGAGCAGCAGAGCAAATGCCAAGACGGGGCTCTGGGGTCCTGCGCTCATCAGCCCAGACCTCCGCAATGCATGTGGAAGAAACATGTAGGGTGCTGTAAGGAATAGAGGAGCCTTCAAACAGAATTTCATGAAGTGAAAGATTAGTTTTAATAAGGTTCTGGGTTTCTTAGTCCCGAATGAAATAAACATTGTATATAAACGCAGTTATTTTTTCATATCAGTGTTTGAGCAAATTTGAGCTGCAATTTAACAAGAGCATCACAAGCAGGAACATGTACCATTCTGTATACACTACAGTTCAAAATTTGACAGTCAGAAAAAAAAAAAAAAAAAAGTTTCCACAAAAAGTGTAAGCAGCACAAGCACACGTTCAACGTTGATGAGAAATGCACAAAATCAACACATTAGAATATTTTCTGAAATATAATTAAATAGAAAGGTTATTTTCAATTTACTCGATTTTAATCAAATAAATGCATTACAAAGTGACCATAAGATACTGCTTTCAAAACCCTTCTAGGCCCTAAACTTTTTGAACTGTTTAGTGAAATCTGTGAAATTACTACCATTACCATGTAATCATAATTCAAAAATTGCAATTCTAAAAAGGCATTTGAATGGAAGTCATGGTGAATTGGCCCTTTGGCTTTACCTACAAATTGAAATGTCTGGATATGGTGACTAAGTGTCTCCACTTCTATCGACACCCCCCCAAAAAAACCCACAGTAGGCTAAATAGAAGACACCACATAAAAAGACAGACGTTCAAAAAGGCCATGTGAGTCATAGCCCAGACAAAACACCACACATTTTAGGTAGCCTACTGTCAACACAGGGAATTAATCTACAGGCAATAGAAATTAAACAATTAAAAGATCATAGATCATAGATAATCCATAGAGCCCGGCCTAACACAATATCTTCCAACATGATGTCCTTTATTATGTAGTATATGCAAAAACAAAATTAAAAAATACATTTAAGTTTTAACCGATGTTAATGACACCAATAATGCACGTTATGGGTGGACAAAAAAGCTGTACAATCAGTATGCTAACATTCACACAGGAGCAGCGAGCACTGTTAGACGGTGTGGACTGCACGAGTTCGGGGAGCGGTGAGATTCCCGAGAAATTCCAGACCGTTTTCCGACCGTTTTCACTCAATAGTTTGCAAAGTTTCAGCGTTTCGCTCCCAAACTATTTAAAACAGCAAAACATGTCCGAATACAAAACCAGCAGCAGCGTTATCTGATACTCGGGGAATGAACAAAAATTCACAAAACCCAACGTTGCTGCAATATAAAAGCAACTGTAAAGTAGCCTACCTTGATACAAAGTTGCGTGCCTTGCAAAATAATCACTGCCTACCAGATTTGCAGCGATAAATAAAAACGTTTTATCTTACCTTGCTGAAATTCCTACAGTTTTGACTCCGGGTTGACCCTGCCATCCAGGCACTGCTGTAGAAGAAACGGAGCACTCCCTCAGACTCCCGAATTCTCTGCTGAAAGATTTTCCAGTGTCAGCCACGTCTCACGACCGGAAGTCCATTTCCAGACTGCGCTCGCGCACTAACCGGAGGAGGAGACCAGAGCCAAACGTGGAGAACCTGCTAGAAAATGATTGTTTAACCCCCATCAGTTGGCAAAAGGTAAAAACTTTTTTTTAAAACATACATGAGTTTTGTATTTTTTTTAAATCCCCTATATCATGTCATGAATTCTTAGTGTTAACACGCATATCCATTCGTCCGTCCGTTTGTCTGACTATCTTGTATTTCTCGAAAAAGATTCTTCATTCTTCATTTGTTTTACAGCCTCAGGTCAAAGAGTGTCTCACTTCAGCAGACACCTGTATACCAACCACTGTGGAACATCAGATGTTTTAATATGAAGATCCATACCACACTGATGCAAATTAGCCTACAGTTTTCTATATGTTGCTTTGATGATAAACAAGGTGATGGCTCCACTAATGGAGCCAAGAGAAGAGATGATTTATTGGGGAGGATGAGTGAATCTATCTATCTATCTATCTATCTATCTATCTATCTATCTATCTATCTATCTATCTATCTATCTATCTATCTATCTATCTATCTATCTATCTATCTATCTATCTATCTATCTATCTATCTATCTATCTATCGCATCATCTTTTCATGCACAATATTTACATGCATAAGCAAACACCTTTTAATTTGAAGTAGCCTTAAATTGGTATCAACTTTAAAACAAGCCCTTTCCAAAGTCTTGATGAACTTTTCTTTTTACATAAGGTCATCTTGGTATTGTTTTCTGCAGACATGTTGTTTTCTGTTGTTACAAGTATGAGATGATTGTTTGTAACATATTTTGTTTACGTAATGACTAATCAATCACTCGGGGAGTTTTGCATATTGACATCTCACATGTTTCATTTCTCCAGATGTCTGACTAAACTTATGTTTATATGAAACAATTGTTGAAGTAATTATTTAAAAGTAATTTGTAACAATATGAGGAAAGCACAAATGAAGTGCACATTATGTTTTTATAGTTTATAGTATCCTTAATGAACAGTCATGAAAAACAACGTGTTATTAAGAGTTAGTGTTTGGAAACTAAACAAGTTAAAGTTGGAGTGGTGCAGTGGTTTTACAGTTAAAATGATTGATGGAAAGTAAAGATAGTTTTCTAGCTAATGTTGCTGAGGATTGTATGCTTTTCTGACAGATTCTGTGATGTATTCACTTTCATGTTGTTCTGAACATGTACAGTTTGAGTTTCGTTCTTCTGCGTTATATCTTGAAGAATAAATTATGATATAATTTTCTCACTCCTGACCACAAGATGGCGCGATTGATTTAGGTGTATTGTCTGAAACACAGACAGAATAAATATTTAGCCTAGGCCATATACCCCTGTGTTATTTTCAAAAGCATGTACAATTATCTACATCTTTAAATTTTATGGAGAAATTGCCTATTCAAATTCCCGCCTACCATCAATTGTTGGATCTATCTATCTATCTATCTATCTATCTATCTATCTATCTATCTATCTATCTATCTATCTATCTATCTATCTATCTATCTATCTATCTATCTATCTATCTATCTATCTATCTATCTATCTATCTATCTATCTATCTATCTATCTATCTATCTATCTATCTATCTATCTATCTATCTGGCAATGGTCTTTACTATTTTTTTTCACGAGAGCTGATAGGACAAAATCAGTAGGAGACCCAATTTTATCGCAAAGTATACATCTAATCATAAATAGCCTACCATGTCTGCTTATCAGTCTGTCATCCCTGAACATATGCATTGCAATAAATACAAAAGGGCGGGAAAAAATATTTACCAGTCAAATTTGTTCTGAGATGAGATGATTTCCCTTAATGACAAAAAAGCAGGATTTCCAGAATATATTCAGCCAAGAATATATTTAATGACCTTAAGTTATTTTTCTACATTGGCCCACCATGTATCTAACCATCCCCATTGATGAATCTGATAAAACTGAATCTGATTTTATCTGAAAATCGGAATCTGATTTTAGAGTGGCCTTTTATTGTGGCCAGCCTAAGGCACACCTGTCCAATAATCATGCTGTCTAATCAGTAATCAGCATCTTGATACGGCACACCTGTGAAGTGAGTGGATTATCTCAGCAAAGGAGAAGTGCTCACTAACACAGATTTAGACAAGTTTGTGAACAATTTTTGAGAGAAATAGGCCTTTTGTATACATAGAAAAAGTCTTAGATCTTTGAGTTCAGCTTCAGCTCATGAAAAATGGGGGCAAAAACAAAAGTGTTGCATTTACAATTTTGTTCAGTTTGTGTGTATAATTACTGTGTGCTTTATATAGAGATAGGAAATATCTACCATATACTGACTCACACCAAAATTCACTGTGATAAATCATTCAGAGTACCCCTCACTAAAACATTGCTATATAAGTCCTTTTTTCCATGTGTGACATTTTATTGGCGATGGCTAAGAGCGGGTTAAGACTCCTAGCTCCAGTCAAGATGATACATGGTGTCTGAGTCATCCTGGCTTGACTTGAGCAATACATTTAGAAAGAGGAAGCATTTTGAAGCTATAGGGCCCACAAAACTAGAATGACCGGGACACTTGTGTAGGGACACGACACGTTTTTACATTAGTGTTATTCATTAATTTTTTCTCAGAACAAAAACGCATTATTGCATGTTGCAGGAACTATAAGATAATTTAGCATATAGTGCCATGAATCACAGCTGCAGTTGTAGTCATTCTGATCATTATTCACTCCAAATAAACAGAGAAAATGTCAAGATGTTTGGTTAGGATGTAGCACATGATGACTTGTGGACAGGCAGCCCAATAAATGCACAAGACACCATCATAATAGTGTATTATTATATTAACCTCAGTAAAACAACAACAACAACAGTAAATTAGTCCTGTGTAAAGTGTTCTTTATGATATTGTGTTAAATATTTTATCCATCAAGAAACTTGACTTCACTTAATCAGAGGAACTAAGTTAAATGGCATTTGATAACACTAGTCTCTGACTAACTAAGTGTATAAGTCAGCTGAAACAATGCAGCCAGATATGAAGCATCATATTTTTCCTTAGTAGACACTTATTAAATTTTCTTTTTGTATGAGTGAATATGAGTTCACATTTCTCACACAACTGTCTCGTACAGCTTGTTAAAATGATACAGATACATCTTCAAATTGTAGCAAGCAGTGATCTCCTAAGATCAATGTGGTTGGATGTCCTGTTGAGTCAACATGAAATAGCATTCTCACCCATTTTACTTGTGTAATGTGTTATCTTCCCAAGTAAACAGGATATTCAAAGAGAACAACAAATGTGGGTAAAATTATGTGCACTGAAATTAATGGATAGTGAAAACATTAAATGATGGAATTTGGAAAGGATGCATTGAAATGAGGGATAGGAATGGGGTCAGTTTTGATTCCATGATAACACTCTGTGTTCTTCTGTTGTTTTTTTGGATGCGACAGAGGTGCAGTAGGGTCCATTTTCAGGTGGCTTTGCTCAAGACCATGTAGATCATCTGATTGTCTGAAAATTGTTTCCTTTTGAATAGTCAACAAAATCTCATGACCGTTCATAAACGTTTTTACATTTTGATGAATGGTTGGCTAATTTGTACGATCTCATTGCATGTTATCTGCTTACGCACCAGTGATGGTTATGTTTAAGGATGGGGGGTGCCTATTTAAAGATGAACAGAGCCAAAACTGCAGCTGCCCTGCCATCTTCTCATTCTTCATGTGGCTGCTTACCAACAGATTTCTGCCCATAGCCATAAACTGGACTGCTTAATGGCATCAATCAATTGAACCATTTTCTCTTCGAAACTGAATATGAACTGATGTTTACCTTTATGAACAACAATAGTATTCCTTGTACAGTATGTCTACAGTGTATTCTGGTGATTTCTTTTTCTTGCTCACTGCCTACAGTGACCATTGGTTGGTGTGTGGTTCTAGATTGTTTACAGTAGGTTAGTGCAGGTGTGACCACTTGAGCTGGACCCTAGGAGGAAGTATTGAACCTTACAGGAAGTCTGCTTTGTTAAAGATAAAATGCAGCCAGCCTCAGGTCAACCGCCCTCCACAACAAGTACATGTACTGA